CTATGGGTTTCCCTAGTGCTCCCCAAGGTTTCTCACTTTTTCCCACTGGGTTTTTTAAGAGTTTTTCCTTGTCGATGCAGGAGGGTCTTGTTGGACAGTTAGTGTCCAACAGAAAGGATTGGTGATGATCAGGACACTTTAGCATTCTACAACATGTTCTCCATGTGTTTTGGCTGTTCATTCTCTGACCTGTGTTGGTGATTTCAATGGTTTTGTTAAGTCCTCTGAGATGACTTCTGTTGTGACCTAGGGCTATACAAGAATAAATTGTATTGTGTATTGTATTGTATTGTATTGTATTGTAGTGGGGTGTCTTTGGTGACAAACAGAACACTCCATTCTATTTCTGCAGTCTTTGCTCGTGTGACCCGATTTGAGACAGCCAAAGCAGAGTCCCTTTTCTTTAATAAAGTTTACTTTGTCCTTGTGAGCCTTTTCTTTAAATTTGAAACATTTTTCCAGCTTATGGTTATTTAATCCACAAAATAAACAACCATTTACAGAAGTCTTGTTTTCATTTGATGCAAGTTTGTTTACAGTTACATTTGTGGCAAAACTTCCCCTTTTTCTTTGCTTTAAATTGCTACTGTTTGAGCTCTTGGGTAGAGAGTGCTGTGGATCTTGGATGTTTCCAAAAAGTGGATCTGATGCAATTCTGACCTGTTTTTCAATGAGCAGGACCAGATCTGTGAACAATGCTCTTTGTCCTCTCCTTTCTTGAAGATCACAAGCCACTCCTCTCCATCTTTCTCTTAATTTATACGGTAACTTTAGAATGATGTTTCTCATATTAGTTGGCAAATCAAGTTCTTTCATATGAGCGATATGTTCTGTTAAGTTTGAACATCCTCTTAGGAAAAGAGAGAATGATTGTAGTGCTTGGATGTCTTCACCTTTTATTGATGGCCAGTTGTTAATCTTTTCCATATATGCATGTGCAATTTTATGTTCATTTCCAAAATGCTCAGCAAGAACACCTTTTGCTTTGTAGTAGCCATGTTCTGCAGGTAAGTGCTGGCAACTGTGGATAAGGTCTCTCGGCTGCCCCCTGGTGTATTGTTTGAGAAAATGCAAACAGTCTGTCAGATCTGAAGTTTTTGCTTCGACGCCATTTTCAAAAGCTCTTATGAACGATTTATATTCAATAGGGTGGCCGTCAAAACATGGAATATTTCGAGGTGGTAAAACTGAAGTTAAGTTTTGCTGGACCAACATGGCAGTGATTTCATTTTGTCGTTGCATTATGTCCATTACACAAGATTGATTGTTTATTTCCGATGGCAACTCAACACTATCACGTTGATTGGGAAACACTTGTGTTGTGCAAGAATAGTTTTTATTTGACACATTTGGAATTTGCTTGGGAACTGGGATGGTGGTCACACTATGCGCAGTTGTAGTTGTCTCTGGCACAAATGCATTGGCATGTGGATTTAAAAGTGTCTCTTTGGTGACGTTGTGCCCTTTGACATACGAGTTCATACCGTCAGACATTTTTGAAACTTTGGAGCCACATTGAGAGCTAATGTCCAAAACACGAAGCTTTGCATTTGCAGCAAGTTTCGATTCCAGTTCAAGTGGTTCTTGTCTTTTTAATTTTTCACTTTGCAACTTTAATCGTTCACTTTGCAATTTTAATTGTTCCTCTTGTGCCTCAATTTCATGTTTTTTATTTAGTGCTGCAACACGTTCCAACAATTCAGCTTTATCGGCTTCTGCTCTGAGGCGCACAGAGACAGTGGAGATGCGTGACGTTTGAGAGCGAGTCTTTGATACGTTGGACTTTGCGGAGCCCACATTAGAGGCACTGTCTTCTGGACCCAAGTCCTCCTCTTGTGGTTTATTGTCCTTAATTTGTGGCACATTTTCACGACCAAGATCACGCAACCAGTCGCTGACACGCTCCACGAATGCACTGTATATAGTCATTTTATTTTTGAAGTATTCATTTTGCGTTGCAATTTCATCAAGAGGAAGTGCCAGATTGATGAAGGAATCATGCGCAGCTTTTGCGTCTTGTTGACATTGCGTGAACACATTGAAAAGTGACGCAACTGATTTTTCATTGTCCTTGGATTTAATCGAAATGTTCAAATCCTCCATAAGCCTTTTAGCTTGTTTAATTTTGGCTTTCCGTTTATCTTGAGTAGTTTGCACGTACAAGCTCAGACCAGCAGGTGTTAGTTTGGTTTTCCTCTTGACTGACGATTGCACATCATTTTCTGTGACTGAAATGGCTTTCGACACGTCCGACATTTTCCCCTTTGGACTTTTGTAGCTCCTTTTTATACAATCCACTGTTTGAATAAATGCGGCACTGAGCAACAATCAACTTTATTTTATTTCACTTGGCTTGTTGCGACTAGTGGTGCGTAATGGTACTGCAGACTATCCTTTCTTTAATCTCCATTGATATCCTTGAATATGGCAGTGTTAATTACTATCTTCAAACTCCAAACGTTTGGCTGTTTTCCATTACAGCATTAGTAATACTCCACATACCATTTGCAGAGGAGACCAGGAGGGCTTTGATTGTTGAGGTGAGGCAGCTGGAGCAATCAGGACCCGAAGGCGATGAATCAAACAAACTTTACGCAGCCATCCATGCATTTATCCGCAAGAAACCACTCGATTGATGTGATAAGTATTCTTGTTGGTTCAAGGGCAAGGTTTTTTACTCGCATGTAGTGACTATTTGTCAAAAAATAGACTATCAAACCAAATGTAACCAAACTTAAGAACAAACTCAGAATGCACCATGGGTAAGTAGTTTACGCAGTACAAAAAATAAACAATTGTCCATTCCAAAAAATGTAAAGTTCAAAAAGGGTTTATTCATCAAGTTGCAGGCAAACAACACAAAAATGCTGCATCTCCCAGAACTGGTAAAAAACCATAGGCCCACCCAGGTGCATGAAGTAGTGATGTGCTGAGCGTGCCGGGTCTTCGAAGCGTGTACCGAGTAAAAAAGGGGCGTATTTTTTGAAGCGTGGTTCGAGGCGTGTGTTGGTGACGTATGTGGTGACGTTCGAAGCCTCGCGAAGGCGGCCGCACCACGTGACGGTTCATATAGTGCTTCATATCGTTCGGAGAGTGCATTGCTTTGACAGGTGCTTTGTGATCCGCGGCTGTAACAGACTGTATTGGCTGTCCCCGTCTGCCTCTGTGTGCGTACGTGTGTGTGCGTACGTGTGTGTGCGTGATGTGGAGCAGTCATGTACTAAGTATTGAGAATGAGGAGTCACGTGCCGAGTTGGGGTGATTTGGGGGGGGCTCTGAGCCTGTCGGACATATTGGCTGCGCAATGGGGGCACGCCCCCAGAATTTCACGCACTCCTCATATTGTTTAGCACGTTGTTTAGCAGTGTTTTGTGTCCCTTTGCACTAAGAAAAGTATGACTCTTATTATCATTTTTACCTATGTTGGGCATGTTTACATGCTGGAAACAGTACTTTGACTGCACACGTTTGTAACAAAAAAAATATTCATTTCTCAATAAATATTGGTAAACCATATCAAGTTGTTTCATGCATTTATTTAAAAATAAAAGATACAGTAAAGAATAAGGTACTCAAACAACACTTTTGCACATTTTCATTAAGGCACAGCAAACAATGACAATCTTATCCAAAGGCATTAGGTTTTCACCCTCACATTTGACAAGCATGTGCACAGGTACAGTTGAGTGTAAGAATTTGAATTTGTTGCGCACAACACCGATCACCCTCTCCACGTGAATTCTGAGATGTGCTATGGCCCTAGTCTCCTCCACATCTTTCGCCTCAAGCTGAGCACGACCCCTGGTGAATGTAGGTATTTTCACTTCAGCACACATCATGCCCTCATGTTCTCTTATATTAAAGCCTCTATCTGCCAGCACAATGTCACCTGGTAACAGCTTGTTCAGGAAACCACTTTGCTCGGTTATATGCTTGTCGCTTGTGCGCCCACCCCACCCGTTCGATATGAAGGAAATTACACCCTGGGGCGTGATCACGATTAGGTATTTCATAGTGTATGCGTGTTTGTATTGAGAAAAAGTCTGTGCCCTTGCTAGTACATTGGAAGGTTTCTCGATGAACACCTCGAAGCAGTCCACAATGGCAGCCACATTGTTCCCAAATGACTCCACAAACTGGTGTGGCATACTGGTCAATAAGCATTCCCTACTTGGCCAGTGCACCAATGGACACAGCTGTGCGTACATCACACCAAGGGTATGGTGAAAGGCATCGGCGACTGTTGTCCTATGTACTCTAAACAGATGGCTGAGGTGCTGTATTGGAAGGTCCAGTCTGAGGCGCATTAAAGTCAATAGGACAAGCTGGAAGGGTGAGAGCTTCTTCATTCTACCTTGAGGCAGATCTGGAGTTAGGTAGAGTAGAAGTGTCTGGAACAATGCAAAGTTTGGAAGCCCCGTGTAATACTTCACTGTGTTATCATCACCACTCAGAAAGTTCTCATTCATCCGGTACGTATCAAGCTCACGCTTCAGCTGTCTGTTTTCTTCAAGAAGATTGTTGATAACATCTCGTCTAGATGTGCAGAGTCCACATTCCATGTCCGGGTCAGCTGGCGGCTGGTCTAGGGCTGGCGGCGGCGGCGCCTGCGGCTGGTCTAGGGCTGGCGGCGGCGGCGCCTGCGGCTGGTCTAGGGCTGGTGCGGCGGCGCCTGCGGCGGTCTAGGGCTGGTGGTGGCGGCGGCGCCTGCGGCTGGTCTAGGGCTGGTGGCGGCGGCGGTCGCTGCGGGCTGGCTGGTCTGGGTGGTGGGCGGCGCCTGCGGCTGGTCTAGGGCTGGTGGCGGCTGCAGCTGGTCTAGGGCTGGAGGTGGCGGCGCCTGCGGCTGGTGTTGGGCTGGAGGTGGCTGCCGCTCCAGTGGCAGGGACCTGCGCCTTACTTGCCGCTGATATCTCGCTTCATCTGTTTTTTGTACATCATTGTGGCCTAACAACAGGGATGGTGTCCAGTCAGGGTGGTTCTCCAACATCTCATATGCTGGTTTACCTACACGAGAATAATAACAACATATTATTAATATAATAATTTGCACAATCTATGTAATCAATGCTTTAAACTGGCAACTATGTCATGAACAGCATCTCAAGTACTTTTTAGGTCACCTCATAATGTCATATGAAGGTTTTATGTACAACAGAATAATTAGATTATGTGTACAATCTATGTAATCTATGCTTTACACTGGCAAAGACCTCGCAGAACACGTGCTAAGTAAGAAACAGCCTGAGAGGGTAACAAAGACACAGAGACAAAGGCACTACAGAAACCATAATAACATATGCTAACCTACACTTCCTAGCTTTAAGAGACAACTACATAAATACATTTTTAGAGAACGTACCAGAGTGAAAATGCAGAGAACACACTCTCGTCGACAGGGGTGTGTGATCGAAAGTAAGGTCCTTTCTTCTAATTGCAGCCAACCAAGCAATCCGACGTCTCCTTGTCAGGTCAGAGAATTGCTCCCCTTGATGCTTTTTCCATTTCGGTAACCTAAAAAACTGTATCCCGTTGTTACTAGGTTTTCCATATCCATCGTGGGAGGTATTGGAGCAGTTTTTAACGCAGCAGTTATTTCCAGGCATGATAAAACAGTGCGGAATAGCAAGAACCTCCGCTACTACCGCGTTCACAACACACGTAAACAAACTGTACTGCCGCCACCGGTGCGCAGCCAATATGTCGGCAAAGGGGGGATGGGGAGGGGGGACTCTGTGCCGTGACGTCAACTCCTCATTCTCAATAGAGAAACTACTTCATATGAAATACAATTAAAAACGTTTCACTTTAGTAAAACCTTATATATCAAGGCTTCAAGTTATCAGTAATAATACGCTGGATATTACATTTCACAACAGCTGTGTGGCGCAGTCGGTATATGACGGACTCCGAAGTAGAAGATATAGTGTTCGAATCCTGGTCTACCCATAATAAATGTTGTGTTGCAAAGTAAATGTATTTATTTATTGGGAATAAATGGTTTGTTGTGTTTAATTAATCCACCTCTTGGTAGTTTTTCCTCCATTAATCACTTTCTGTAGAACTGTATTACTTTGGATGTGTTTGTTGTATCAACACAATTGACTGAAAGACTCAAATAGTTCATAGTTCATGAAGCATCATTTCAAACACAACACGTTAGACCATAGATTGTAAATATACATTTTAACATTAGATCTCACCATTCATTGTAAGCACTTAAGAGTGTTATGTATTTCTTTGTCCACATGATGGCGTAGTGGAGCATGATTCACCTCGAGCCTTCGACTCATGGGCCGAGTAATAGGCTGCAAACCCTCAAGGCTTCATGGGGCTTCATATTGCCATCACTAGCATGAAGGCCCGCCCTGTACTGCCCCATTATATCCCCTAGGTGCCACTAAACCAAACTGAAAAGTGGTTCTCACCCCCGCTCCTCGGAGCTTACGTTACTCACATTTCCTGTTCAAATCTTCCTCTAAATGGGCGTAGCCTGGAGGACTAAAGGGGGCGTGAACGAGACTGGGCCGTTTCATGGATGTATTATATTAACTGGATAGGGTATTACTAGCTTGTAGCTGAATAACTCACGTGCTCAGGGGATTCTCGCGGTACTGCAGACTGAACCAGACTAAATTCACGTGGGCTACCCAGAAATTTTCCCCATAGAACTCAATGCATATTAAAACAGCTCGACCTCAGCTGACAGAGAACCTACAGCTTTAATAAAGATCGGATTTTGTGGGAATTTTAGTGTCCCTTGTAATCCTGAACTTTTTTTCTTCTTAAATCCTTCGGTTTTGTTTAAATCCACACTTTAGTGCCACAAACTCTGCTCCTCTGGCTCTCGCTCTAACTCCCGCTCTGATGAACTGCTCTGATTGGTCAGAGCGCGGCCGAGCCCCTCTGTGCACGTGCGTGAGACCCGGTGTGAGACCCACACACGCGTATTTGGTGCAACGCATTATGGGAGATCATCCACTGCGCAGAACCGGGAGGACCAGACGATGCCCAAATACAGGCGAGTTTCCCATAGATCTTTGCGAGTTTCAGGCAACTTCCGCTAATCTTTCAGCCCCCATGCTGTCACAAAGCGCCACTGAGCACAACCATTCATTTGAACAGGGCGCCATCTTGGATCGCCGGGGCTTGGGCCGTTTACATTGCTCTGGGCGGGGGGCTGCTGACGTCAGGTCCAACTTGCAGACGTCAGGTCCAACTTCTGTGCCAGTGTTGGCGCCAGATTCAAAATTCAAATGTAGTAATACAGGTCGCCAGCAGATGGCGCCTCACAGACGGTTTTGGGCAGAAAGTCTAACTTTCAACTAATTTGCACCAAAGTGACAAGATTATGACCAGGATATGTAGACAACACTATTGGACACTCATTTATACCGTTTATCAGCAAAAAAAAGTGGATTTGAGGGTGAGTTGTCCTTTAAGTGAACCCTAAATAATCTACAAAAATATCTAAATTACCAAAAAACTAAAATACTAACCTCAGCAAAAAATTACTAAATATTGAAAAATATACAAAACCCCAAATAAATTAAATCAATCAAGCAAATAGCTCCTACACTAAGTAATTGTTGCTTGTTTTGGATCCAAATATTACTTTTTAAGCACATTTTTCTTAAGAAGGAAAAGCTAGAATTAGTTTCTTAAAATAAGAATTTTATTCAAGGAAATTTTGCTAGACAAGATAATTTTTTCTTTTTATACTAAAAACAAGATTTTTTTTACTTGCTTAGAATTGACTTTTTGCAGTACAAATACTTATCTGTTTTACAAACTCATTTTACTCAAATACTTTGAATATAACCATTCCCACAAAGGCCGCTCATATTAAAGGCACACATGTCCACTAACTCCTCGTGAAAAGTATTAACAAAAATCACCGCAATAAACGAGTGATTTTTTTTTTCTGGGGCACCGGACCTGACAACCCAATGATATTGGACACGACTTGCATTGTATTTCATATATTGCATTGCATTTTGATCTGGTGGCATATAGTCCTTTGGTTGTACTAACTGTTGTCGAAGTTTTTGTAAGGTTTGACTGCTGTACCAATATTGTATTTCTTCATGGCTCTTTGGATGGTTCTGTTATGCCTCTGCTGTAAGGTAATGTAACTGTATTGCCGTGCTCCTGCTGCCCTCTAGTGGTGGTGGTCGGTTTCTTCTTTTGTTTTTGAGTTTTATCCTTCACCAGTTGTCTCCCCTTTCACTATGGCCCAATTCGGGAACTGACATTCTTTAGGTGCTTGAACGATGTCCATTTCATCCTCTTTGTCCTTGTCATCTGATGATTGTGGTCAACCATGGATGGAACCTGCTTCAATCACAGAGAGTCTAACAGAGGCAGTGGGTAGGTGATGGTAGGTTTGTTATTATTGCATTTACTGTGTTCAAACTGTATGATTCTCTGACCTGTTGGCGAATCAAGAACTTAAAAGTCCTTCGAGACAACTGCTGTTGTGATTTAGGGCTATACACAAATACACTGATTTGAAAAACAAACCTTTATGCATGACTTTCTGCTGCTGCAACCATATTGCCCCTCGGGGATAATAAAGATACTTTAAACCTTGAGGTGAACCACAAGCAAAATGAAGGAGGAAACCAGCCTGATGGACTGTGGAGAATTTAATCATTTCTATTCCACATAAAACAAATATAAAAACAGATGAGCCTCCTAAAAACATCCAAATCAAAGCACTGTCCAAAACAAACAGAAAGGGGATGGGGGCTGGCCTCACAGCTGCAGGGCACAGAACTGCTGGTACACTGCCAGGATGTGGGGGTCAAGCTCAGCTGTGAAGAGCAGGTTCTCCAGGGTGCCCATGTACTGCTGGATGGTCTGATGATGCTGGAGACAAACAGAAGATCAGATTAGTTGTGAGAATGCTGGTGTGTATGAGTTTATTTGGGTTGGGTGGGTGGTTACCTGTTGTTCACTTTGGGTTTGTGTACAAGAAATAAAATTAAAAAAAATGAAAATAAAATAAAGAAGATCATTCCATAAGAGACTAATACTTTGTGTTATATGTGCATAAATGCCTCATGGTATAACCATGCGTAACCAAGCCTAAAACCATGACTCATAGTTTTTACACTTAAATATCACTTTCTAAAAATCTGCTGAGCTAAGAAAGATCAAATCAGATCTTCCCTTTACAGGTCGCTCTGAATAAGAAAAAGGTAAATATACATTTTCAGAAAACTTGATCCCAGAGGGCAATTCATTTCCAGCAGAATAAAGAAGGGTTTGAACAGTTTTTCAGAGGCCGACTTCAGCAGAGGAATTTTCGGACTATAAGCTGCACCTGATAAGCCCCATGCCCCAATTATTAGAAAGAGATTGAAAGTTGTACTTGTGCAAGCCGCATTAGAAAACGCACCTGTCCTAAACCTTGATCATGTTTTCTTTTTACTGTCAGTAATAAGAGTGAGTCACTAACTGTTCTTAATCTTCCAGTGTGAAGCAGAAAGGTAAGGAGTTGCATCTACTGGTGCTCTGTTCACTTTTATGTCTATACAAAGAACCAAAAATGAACCACAATTCAAGAGATTTTTTCAAAAGCACAGACTGGGATATGATCTGCAGCTCTCATGGAGATGACATCAAAAGTCTGACACACTGCATAACAAACTATATTCTCTTCTGAGTGGATAATACCAATTAAGAAGGTAAATTGTTTTTCTAACCACCCATGGGTGACCCCTGAGCTTAAAGTCCTCCTGAACCTCAAGAAAAGGGCTATCATCTCAGGGGAGAAAGAGGAGCAGAAGAGGATCCAGCACGATCTCCAATGGAGGATCAGGAGGGCCAAGAAGGACTATGGGGAAAAAGCTATAGCAGTCACTGCGTCAGGGAAACGCCCGTGACGTAGAGACGTCTAAAGAACATCTCCGGATTCGGACAGAATGCCAGACATCGGATGGAGTCATCCCCAGCCCCACGCTATGTCTGGTGCAAACCCAACACATCACATCACCCAAAGAACACCGTCCCCACAGTGAAACATGGTGATGGCAGCATCATGCTGTGGGGATGTTTTTCAGCAGCCGGGACTGAGAAACTGGTCAGAGTTGAGGGAAAGGTGGATGGTGCTAAATACAGGGATATTGTTGAGCAAAACCTGTACTACTCTGTGCGTGATTTGAGGCTAGGACGGAGGTTCACCTTCCAGCAGGACAATGATCCCAAAGACACTGCTAAAGCAACAGTGGTTTAAGGGGAAACATGTAAATGTGTTGGAAAGGCCTCGTCAAAGCCCAGACCTCAATCCATAGGTCTGGTCAATAGAAAATCTGTGGTCAGACTTAAAGATTGCTGTTCACAAGCGCAAACCATCCAACTTTTGCAAGGAGGAATGGACAAATATCCCAGTGGTAAGATTTAGTAAGCTCATAGAGACTTATCCAAAGCGACTTGGAGCTGTGATTGCCGCAAAAGGTGGCTCTACAAAGTATTGACTTTAGCGGGGTGAATAGTTATGCACATTGACCTATTTTGTCCTATTTGTTGTTTGCTTCACAATAAAAAAAGACAACATCTTCAAAGTTGTGGGCATGTTCTGTAAATTAACTGATGCAAATCCTCAAACAATCCATGTTAATTTAGCAATGCAAGATTACATTTTTTAAATTACCAAATCAGATTTAATTCAGCACGGTATTTTCCAGCTCAGTAAGAGGAATAAAACAGTTTTTGAATTATGAAAATCGGATAAGTGGTTATGATTTTATTACCATATTGATAAGTGCTTTTAGGCGCTTATAGTGAAAGTAATTTGGTTTAAAACAAAGGGATACTGTGGAACCTTCTATTCAGCCAGTTCAAGCCTTTATTCATCTTCTAAGTGCTGTAACTTCCCTATTTTACGAACTATAAACATTAAAATCCACAGTAAAGAAGGAAACAATTCAGGGATGTTGAATTCGATATTTATTTTACAATTTGGCCGACCCCGATTCCAATATAGCCGCCAGCTTATCCAAGATGGCTGCCAACAGGAAATCCGGAAAACATTTTTTTCAAACTACTATGTAATATATCAAAATAAAGGTAATTGATGGAGCAATCTAAATATGATGCTTAGAAATGTTTTTGGCATATGCACACACACACACGTGTTATTTATGACACTAAAGTTACAGACCCCAGCTTTAAACATGTTATTAATGAGACTAAAGTTACAGACCTCAGCTTTAAACATTTTATTAATGAGACTAAAGTTACAGACCTCAGCTTTAAACATGTTATTAATGAGACTAAAGTTACAGACCTCAGCTTTAAACATGTGTTATTTATGAGACTAAAGTTACAGACCTCAGCTTTAAGCATGTTATTTATGAGACTAAAGTTACAGACTCGAGCTTTAAACATGTTAACTAACCCAAACACCCTTGTTAACATGTAAAATGGATTAGTCCAACCAATGGCATTGGTCCGTTTGGGCCACGTGACTCGCGTTTCTACCCCCCGGAAAAGTGGGCTCGCCCGGACTTGCCTGCCGCTTCGGCAACAGAGCAGAGTGTGTGATAAGCGCGGCGGTTTTTCAACTTTATTCACTGATCCGCGGGTCAAAACAACCGTGACATGATTCAAATATACCATCATTCTAAAGCTTATAATCTTAGATGTATGTGTGTGGTGTTGGTTTTCCAAAATCCCGGTTACTTACCGTGTATTTTGCTATTAAGTTCGTCGGATTATATCTCCGTAATGCGCAGTAATAAGTGATCTATTTACCCGGTAAATATCACCTCGCGGCGACGTCATTAACCCGCGCGGAATGCCGAGGATATCCCGACTCATTTTTTTTCCAAGGCCAGACTATCTGTGGCCCACTCTGCCTCATATTTGTCAACTTTATTAATTCATATCTCAGGGAATAAACGGAATATCAGAACAATGCACACATTTATGGATTCTATGAATAAAAATATGTTTATTGGTAGTGGTGGTAGCTATATATTCTGATTATTTAGCTGCTCAGAATCAAATGAACTAAAGTGAGTAAGACAGCGACCTCTTTTCACCACAGCGTTTCCACTGAGTCTTGCATTGCTAGTTAATTCCAGGTTGTGAGGCAACAAAACACACAAAATGGGTGAATACTTTTGCAAGGCACTGTATATCCTGAAGAGACTATATTTTTAGCCTTGTTAGAATCACTCCGATTTTGCAAAAGACAGAAGTGTGCAATCTATGCGAAACGTGACATGTACATTTCTCCAGTGAGAGATCAAAGTCCATCTTAATTCTGTTGGTTTACTGTTACTTGGCAACATGTTTTTGTCACACCATAAAAAAAATCAAGCCGCACCTTACTATAAGCTGCAGCCTTCAAAATTCAGGGAAAAAATGCCGCTTATAGTCCGAAAAATACGGTAGTTTGGATGAGTTTTTAAAGTCAGGGAATCCTGCATGTGTGCGAGGGCTCACCATGAGGAAGATCTGCTGCAGTCGGTCGATACAATTCTTGTACCAGTGCGTGCTGACGTCCACACTGCCCGTCTCACAGCGCACCAGGTGCTCAGTCAGCAGCATGATGAACCTCTGAGGACACAGCACAACTCTCGTGAGAAACAAACTCTTTCACTGTTCTGGAACAAACAGTTCGAGCCAATAAGAGCAGTTTTCAGACACAAGCAGTACAAGCAGCAAAGCGCTGACTTAATTTTCTTAGTACGGGGCCGATGCCACAGATTAGCTTGATGGATGAATGACTTTTGCCTAAGGGGAGGGCTGGACATTGTACTACTTTGCATCACTATGAGGGGACTAGATGAGTAAAGCACCCTAAGAGCATTACGAAAAGTGCCATACATCTCATATCCACCAACTATGAGCGTGAGGAATATAGAGATCATCATGTGTGTGCTGTGAAAAGCTCTTCTTTAAACGAATAAGGAACGTGGTTAGACAAAGACTAACTCATACATACCAGACAGGCACAGGCCATGAATAATAACTGGATAGGGTATTACTAGCTTATAGCTGTCCCACCCATGGGCACAGGGGGTGGTACTGCAGACTAAATTAAAGCTGCACTAACTGACTTTGGGATTTTGAAGCCGCGGACTCGCTGGCCTCTCTCTTTCTGCTCCCCTCCCCGCACCCACGAAGCTATCGCCCCCCACACACACCCACTGTAGGGACGGAGCTAGTGTCTCCCAATATGGATAATACATGGATATGGATTTTCACGTGGATGGCGTGACCATAAAACGATAGAACCGGGAAGCGCGGAGGAATGGGACTTTCTTTTGGATGGCTGTCTCGCTGTGTAAGCAGTAACCGGTGACGAAGACACGAAGCTTCAGGTTAGCTCCTCGGCTTGTTGTGCTAACTCAGCTGTCTGTGCTAACGGACCTGTAGATTTCTCACGAAAGTGGGGGCCAGTGGTCTGCTGTGATTGGTCACAATCTGCGACCCGAAACACATTCTCTTCCTTGTTTCATCAAAACTCGATCTAAAATATAATGTCACGCCAGCACAAATCTGCGCTAATTATTCTTCAAAAGGACGTATATCCCAATGCACTACATGGACATGGATAGCATTTTCGTAATGAATACGAAAATAAAGTCAGTTAGTGCAGCTTTAATGTGGGCTACCTAGAAAAAAGTCCCATAGAACTCAATGTAAATTAAAACAGCTTGACCTCAGCTGACAGAGAACCTACAGCTTTCATAAAGTTTGAATTTTGTGGGGATTTTACGGTCCCTTGTCATCCTGAACTTTTTTTCTTCTTAGATCCTTCGGTTTTCTTTAAATCCACACTTTACTGCCACAAACTCTGCTCGTTTCCTTCCCACTCTGACTCCGCTCTACCGCTGCTCTGATCAGCAGCTCTGATTGGTCAGAGCGCAGCCGAGCACCCTCTGTGCACGTGCATGAGACCCACACACGCGTATTTGGCGTATGTGGGTCATTGGAGATAATCCACTGCGCAGAACCGGGAGGACCAGACGATGTCCAAATATAGCAGAGCTCCTCTGATATGTCAGCGCCCGTGAAGTCCCATGCGCTACTGAGCACAAGACATTCATTTGAAAAGGGCACCATCTTGGATCACCGGGGCTTGGCGCAGGCACACAAACATACACACACACCTGGAAGATGACGAGGAAGAGGTTTTTCTGCTCGCTCTGGGCCGACTCCACCTTCTCCTGGAGCCTCTCGATCTGCTCCTCCAGCTGGGCCTCCTCGTCCTCACTGCCGCGTTCCATATCCTCATCGTCTCCACTGTCCCGCTGCAACACACAGACAGAAGCTACTCAACAGATGATAATACCATCCACAAGTCATTTTCAAATCTGATTTTACAGAATATTGTCTATTTTTAAAAATTAACTGAAGCTAGACATTTTTTCTAACATTGTATGACATTTTAAATAAAGGTATATTCTGTAACATTAGTTAGCACTTTTCTACCTTTTCAAGGCTATCTAAGTGCTTCACATCAAGTAACCAATCACAATGTGTCAATCTGACCACTCAGTCAATGATGTTTATATCAAGAGCAGGGTTCAAACTTCCAACCTCAATAACAAAATGGATGGAGCACATTTCCAACATATATTCCAATCAATAAATCTCCCGAGATCATGTCCCACCACACAATGTTTTGTGGCAGTTTAATCTCAAGATTTTGGGGCACAATATTGTCCCATGCAAAGCCCTATAATTTTATCATTATCTGTTGATTTTACAGAACAAAGCGCAAAATAGAGAACATTGATTTTACAAGTGCATATTTTTTCGAGTAACATTACTTCAAAAGTGTCTTAAAAGCTGCATGTTTTTTCTAGGTGAAAAACATGTATTCCAGAGAGAAATGGCTCAGTAAACAAACATGGTTTTGTGTCTCGTTTCTTCAGGGCAAGACTTACCTTCTTGTGCTGCTGCTTCTCTAGTTTGTCCTTTGCCTCCTCCAGCTCTTTCTGAATCTTCTGCACATGCTTGTTCATCTTGCGGATGGTGGAGTGGAGGATCTCCCAAATGTACAGCCTGAGTCAGAGTATAAGTAAGAACAACTCAGTGGCAGGTAGTATCATTGGTTTGGCAGTTGGTTTGCTGCTGGGGGGACTCATGCATGGAATAAACGAATAACGAGCATAATTTGAACAAATATTTCAAGACATCAGCAAATTCAGCAATGAAGTTGAAGCTTGGATGGATGTTCCGAATAGACAATAACTCCAAGCACACTATTTTAGTTTTATAATGTGCTAAATAAATAACGTGGATTGGATTGGACTGACACCAAACCAATAGAATATTTGTGGGCACACCTGAGAAAGCAAAACTGACATCGTTCAATCAGTCCTGCTAGGAGGGGTCAAAATTATATCAATATACAGTCAAAAATTTGTGCAAAGGCTTCTCAAAACTGTTGGCCCAAGATTAACTGTATACATTTTTGAGTTTTTCCTTGCCGATGGAGGAGGGTTTGCTGGACAGTTAGTGTCTAACAAGGACTGTGGTGATGATCCTGGAGACATTAACATTCAACAACATGTATGGACATTTATCAACATTCATGGACATTGTGCCACTTTTCCATAGTAACAGTACAGTACGGCACGGCACGGCACATGTATTTTGCATTTCCACTAGGCTTGGAATAAGGGTACTTTTTTTTGTACCACCTCGACAATAGTTCCATGTGTGCCGAAGCAACACCATATGGCGACTTCTGCAGACTGCCTTACACTGATTGGTCAACGAGTGTCGTCACTGGAAGCGACGTCCGACCCCATGGTAAAAACAACTCAACCCCCACCATCTTTAAAACTGGCTGCTCTCCTGTAATACATCCTCCTCACTCCAGAGAAATGGAATCGCACAGAAAACCCCAAAAGTCAGTGTCCTGGTCGGTCGACGAGGTCCACACGTTACTCTCTTTAGGCCGGAACAAGAAGGTTTTTAGGGAGATTGCTCTAGATTTGTGACTAGTCTGTGGTAATCCTGGAAAAAACTGGTTAACGTATCCCGCAGGCCAAAAGCTCTCACTGAAATGTATTTACTCGTGTAAAAGTTTGTCTGTTCTACACAGTGAGCTAGCTCTACATTTAGCTATCGATAGCAAGTTAAGCTAAAACGTCCCTCCTGTGCTAGAGTGCTGTATTTTGCTATTTCACGTGTTGCCATTCTGTTTTGTGCTTGTACTTAAGTTGTCGTGTGTATATGTATTTATTTGAGAATCCTTTCCAGCAAGTGAGGAGATTACCAACGAGCAATGAGTGACCACTCGTCCCTCCACCTGGTCTCAAGCGATATACGGACTTTGTAAATTGTTGGTTTTGCACTTTACTTATGGTTTTTTAATACATCTGTGATTGTATCAAGACTTTGTTTCATTCATTTGTCTGTGCACATGCAGAAAAGGGGTTCAAAAGCAAAAGTTACGATTTCCTACCATATACTTTTACTTCCATTTATATTACATACATTATATTTGTCAGTAAATCCATGTAACCTTGGTAAATTTATGAACAAGGATGGAGACATTTTCTAAATACAAAAAGGTTTTATTTTTGGTCAAAACAAGGGCAAAATAAATGTTTAGGCATATGACAAAGTGACGCATCAGACCCTCCTCTAAACCACTGCTACAAAGGCTGGTGTGGCTAAATGTGTGTCCTATTCTGTCACATGGTCTCTCCATGGTTTTTTTTTTGCAAGTCAGCACCACTGACTTCACATGTTCAGCGTCCGAGTCATTCCTTTAAGACTGCCGAAAGCATTTGGGCAACAGTAGCCCAGATGGTAGAGCATTGGCCTTTGGAAGGTTGTGTCCATGCCAAGACACTTAACCTCTAGGAACACCTGATGCCACAGTGGGGCGGCTGCGGCTGTAAAGTGCCAAACTGCTGTTGTGTCCTTAGGCAAGACATTTCACCCCCATTGCCTAGAATGAGGCTGGTGTGTGTGTGAATGGTTGCCGATGGCACATTCTGGTTGTCTCGTTTCTGTCAATGTGCCCTAGAATGTAGTTTATCACCACCGAGGAATGGAGTGAATGAATAATGACATGTAAAGCATCTTTGAGTGTCCAAAAAAAGCGCTATATAAAACTGATGCATTATTATTATCATTGATTGACTGCGGAACCTTCCGCAGTCAACCATTGGTTTTGGTTTTCTTTATTCCGTCTTTTTCCTGATTTTTGACACGTTTCACAGCTTTCACATTTTCAACAATTTCCACAAGTTATACATCAAAACGTTCCACATGTTTGGGAGATTATTGCTATTACTTTTGGGACTTCAGCGATTTCCGGTTTTTCCGCAATCGGACAAAAATCGGTCGATTTTTCCCATTGACTTATAATGGGGCTTCCACAAATTCATAGTTTTCAGAATTTTCTTCAACATTTTCAGCATTTTCTGCAGTTTGTGCATGTTCAGCTTCCACAACTTGTGAGTTTTCAGAAAAAAATAGAGTTCTGCAGTTTTCCAGTTTTTTTCTACGGACTTGGGAATTCTGCCATTAATTTGCATTGAGAATTCTGCAATGCATTTTAATAGGCCCATGCATTTTAATAGGACTTCAGCTCTTTCAGACAGTTTCTACAGTTTCAATGATTCAACAGTTTCAATGATTCAACAGTTTCAATGATTCAACAGTTTCAAGGACTTCAGTTTCAGCAGTTTCAAGGTTTCAAGTTTCAAGTTTCAAGGACTTCAACAGTTTCAAGGACTTCACCAGTTTCAAGGACTTCAGTGTAATCATGCAACCTAATAGGGATTTTTCCATGTAAACCAGTATAATGCAACTTAATAGGGGTTTTTACATGTAAACCAGTATAATGCAACTTAATTTTTTCCATGTAAACCAGTATAATGCAACTTAATAGGGGTTTTTACATGTAAACCAGTATAATGCAACTTAATAGGTTTTTTCCATGTAAACCAGTATAATGCAACTTAATAGGGTTTTTTTTCCATGTAAACCAGTATAATGCAACTTAATAGGGTTTTTTTCATGTAAACCAGTATAATGCCACTTAATAGGGTTTTTTTCATGTAAACCAGTATAATGCAACTTAATGGGGATTTTTCCATGTAAACCAGTATAATGCAACTTAATATGGGTTTTTACATGTAAACCAGTATAATGCAACTTAATAGGGTTTTTTTTTACATGTAAACCAGTATAATGGAACTTAATAGGGTTTTTTACATGTAAACCAGTATAATGGAACTTAATAGGGGTTTTTTACATGTAAACCAGTATAATGGAACTTAATAGGGGTTTTTACATGTAAACCAGTATAATGCAACTTAATAGGGATTTTTACATGTAAACCAGTATAATGCAACTTAATAGGGTTTTTTACATGTAAACCAGTATAATGCAACTTAATGGGGATTTTTCCATGTAAACCAGTATAATGCAACTTAATAGGGGTTTTTACATGTAAACCAGTATAAAGGATAACAGTTTAAAGGATATCAGGAGCTTCAAATACTTCAGGAGTTTCAAAGATGTTTAAAGTATTTTAACAGTTTCAAGGATTTCAAGGATTTTTCAGCTAAATTCCACATTAGATCTGTTCCGCAGTCAATCGCAATGGCTTCAGCCATTGCAAGTTTCTAGTTATTATTATTATTCAACAACCACTCTCACTGTGCTACATTTTCTATTAAATACTTACTGTTCATCTGTCACTCGCCCGGTGTCCTGAAAAAGTTTTAGGAGCCAATTCTGCAGGGGGTAAGCAGAGTACCTGAGGAGGTAATAACCAGCTATCTCCGATATTATAATTAATCCATGCATCGCACCAATGTTCCTGGTTACACATCGCACGTAAATGACCTGGTCTGACAAGCCCTCCAACGCTGAAGAGGTACAATTTTTAATGGAAAAGCCTTCGCACACAGCCGTGCTGTATCGTGCCGTGACTATGGAAAAGCGGCATTGGTCTCTTCCTATGGACCGTTACATATGTGTTCTATACTTTGTGTGTCTTAACTGTTGATTCTCTGATCTGTGTTGGTGATTTCAATGGTTTTGTTAAGTCCTCTGAGATGACTGCTGTTGTGATTTAGGGCTATACAAGAATAAATGGTAATTGTAAATTCCCCACTGAAAACCTGAAAGACTGAAATACATTTCTTCCCCCATAACCATGAGCGCAGGACAAAGATTTTTGCATTATTGTGAGCCAGCGGCAGATTAAATGTCTGTATGTCTGTTTGTTTTGTAAATAAAAGACACTTGGGAGCAACATAGCTGTGCGGATTATTCTCCGTTTTCAGATTTACAGCGATAGATTACAGGACAGGTCCGCAGCTCCAGTCACCTGCCGGTCAAAGCTTTGCAGGATTTGACCAGCAGGGAGGCTTTGCACGACAACAGGAGAGCGCATTGCCTCGGGGCCAAGGGGTAGCAATAGCAAGGAGGGGGCGAGCAGCCGAGTGCAGAGAAGGCAGACGAGCAAAGCGGCAAAAGTGTAATATAAACATTATATCGATATGTCAAAATTCATATAGACTTGAAAGAATATCTCGATATTATCCTCTGCTGCTGTTACCCGTCCTGCTCCACCCGGAGGCTACTCCACCTTTGCTACTGTGACCTGTCCTGCTCCACCCAGCGGCTACTCCACCTCTGCTGCTGTGGCCTGTACTGCTCCACCCAGCGGCTACTCCACCTCTGCTACTGTGACCTGTCCTGCTCCACCCAGCGGCTACTCCACTTCTGCTGCAGTGACCTGAAGTGCTGTTGGATTTTATTATTACTATTGTTAGCTTTTATATTTGAGAAGGACTGGTGTAGTCGTAGTCAGTAAGTAGAGGAATTACAAATGCCACTGATATTGATTATTATTATCTCAACAACAGTATAATCGGTACAGAATTGTGAAGAGCAATCCACAGTTTTAGTGAGCGGTGAGCGGTCGTTCCCACATAACTCTCACCTGGTAAACTCATGGGCCATGTCCTGGGAAAAGAGCCAGTTGGCCACAGCAGCACAGTCCACAATCTGGGTCCGGATCATTTTATCCACCAGAACAGCGATCATCTGCAGAAGGAAAAAAAACGTACTGTGAAACCACCGTTCAACTACATAGTTAGTAAGTTATAGTATAATCTCATGCTAAAAGAACCTCACTGAATTGTTAATTGTTCAATAGCAGATTATAAAATTCAACTTAAAAAAAATAAAAATATTCAAAACAATCTTGATTTTTACAAAGACATTTTTAAACATTCATACAAACAAAATAAATAGAATATCTAATGTTGTAAATATTAAATGGTGCATTCCACCTCTGTGCTGATGTTGGACTTCTTTAACACTAGGACTCCCATAGTTATGATACTACCAGAACTCCCAGAGCCATCATTAGGCCCGAGCCCCGAACGGGGTAAGGGCCTATTGCTTTCACAATGGTGAAAACAAATGGTGGCGGTGCGTGACGGACGCGTCAGCGCCCGTCACTCACCAAAACGTGACGGTTGCATGAGTAAACTCAAACGCTTTAAAATGATGTATCACGTGCCATTGAAACCTATATTGTTTTTGCTCGAGACGTTAAAAAAAATTCCTTTTTTAGGCCCGAGCCCCGAACGGGGTAAGGGCCTATTGCTTCACAATGGTGAAAACAAATGGTGGCGGTGCGTGACAGACGCGTCAGCGCCCGTCACTCACCCCGACGTGACGGTTGCGTGCGTAAACTCAAACGCTTCAAAATGATGTATCACGTGCCATTGAAACCTATATTGTTTTTGCTCAAGACGTTAAAAAAAAAAATCCTTTTTTATTTCTTTCTTTCTTTTTTCTTCTGCACTTTGAGCCTTAATTTGACCCCCTGAACATGCATGAAAAGTTGTTAATTTTGGCCCAAAAATCAGACCTGGCGAAAAATTCGATATTTTGGTGTTTATTTTTATGGGACTCAAAAAATGACAGAACACCGCCACCTACAACAGCCAAAATAATACCCGATAAAAATCGCTCCACATCGTCTAAACACATGTACCTTCATTTTGATTTATCAGACTTTTGATCAGTAAAACGTTGTTAGAGCAGCGGAGCGCCAAAAAGTGACGTATTTTTTTTCAGTTTTTGACAATGTAAAATTGCTTCCGTTTGCACAAGCAAAGTCTGATTTGCACAAAACTTGAATCCATGGATCAACTCTTGGGTCTAGGTCATTTGAAAGTAAAAAATTTGAAATTGGCTCTATAGCGCCACCTACAACAGCCAATTTAAAAATGCCTATGGGAGGGGTTCGAGGTCAATTTGTCGTAGAACCATGTAATTTGGTACACATGTTCCTCAAGTCAAGACATGGAAAAAATGTTATTATGGCTAAGCCCTCTGACAAACAGGAAGCCCATAAATTTCATTGCAAAATGGAAAAATGAAAGCCAATCATTTTCATACATTTCCAACCGACTCCTCCTTGGCCGTTTCACCGATTGGCCTCAAAATTGCTCCAAATTATCTCAACACATGCACCTTCAAAATGACTTCAGGGAATTTTGATCAGTGAAACGTTGTTTGAGCAGCGGAGCGGCAAAATGTGAGGGTTTTTTTGGCCGTTTTTGACAACATAATTTTTTTTCCCGTTTGCACAAACAAAGTCTGATTTGCATTAAACTTGAATCCATTGTTAAACTCCAGGGTTTAGGTCAGGTGAAAGTGAAATATTTGAAATTGACCCATTAGCGCCCCCTACAGACTGAAACAAAGTTCAAATGGGGAGCCAAACCAGCTCTACTTATCATATTCATTACAATTTGACTAACATTCTTCTATGGCTACGGGACCAAATCATCACACAGCGGCGCCACCTCCTTTGCGCGGTGCTGCGTGGTACGGTGTGGTGCGGCGTAGTGCGGGGCGTTGTGGAGCGGCGCGTTGCGGCGTGGCGTAGGGAGGCGTGGTGCGGGGTGGCTTGGTGCGGGGCGGCGTGGCACCGGGTGGTGCGCGCGGTGCGGCGAGGGCCGTTCGACGCCGCTTGCGGCTTTAATTTATTTATTTCTTTTTTCTTCTGCACTTTGAGCCTTAATTTGACCCCCTGAACATGCATGAAAAGTTGTAAAATTTTGCCCAAACATCAGACCTGGTGAAAAATTTGATATTTGGGTGTTTATTTTTATGGGACTCAAAAAAAGCCAGAACAGCGCCACCTACAACAGCCAATGGGAGTTTCAGAGGTCAAGTTTGTCGTAGAGCCATGAAATTCGGTACACATGTTCCTCAAGTCAAGATACGACCGAAATGTTACCATGGCTCCGCCCTCTGACAAACAGGAAGCCCATAAATTTCACTGCAAAATGGATAAATGATCCGCAATCATTTTCATCCATGTCGGTTGGAAAGCGACTCCTGCTCGGCCGTTTTACAGATTCGTCTCAAAATCGCTCCACATGATCTCAACACATGTACCTTGAAAATAACCAAAGGGATTTTTGATCAGTGAAACGTTGTTTGAGCAGCGGAGCGGCAAAATGTGAGTGTTTTTTGACCGTTTTTCACAACATTAATTTTGCTCCCGTTTGCACAAACAAAGTCTGATTTGCACAAAACTTGAATCCAATATTCAACTCCAGGGTTTAGGTCAGGTGAAAGTGAAATATTTGAAATTGGCCCAATTGCTCCCCCTACAGATTGAGGCAAAGTTTTACATGGGGTGCCAAACAGCTCTAATCATCATATTCATTACAATTTCACTAACGTTCTTCTATGGCAACAGCAACAAATCATCACACGGCGGCCCCAGCTCCTTTGCGCGGTGCTGCGTGGTACGGTGTGGTGCGGCGTAGTGCGGGGCGTTGCGGCTTGGTGCGGAGTGGCGTGGTGGCTTGGTGTGGGGCGGCTTGGTGCGGGGCGGCTTGGTGCGGGGCGGCTTGGTGGTGCGCGCGGTGCGGCGAGGGCCGTTTGACGCCGCTTGCGGCTTTAATTTATTTATTTCTTTCTTTTTTCTTCTGCACTTTGAGCCTTAATTTGACCCCCTGAACATGCATGAAAAGTTGATAAATTTTGCCCAAAAATCAGACCTGGTGAAAAATTTGATATTTGGGTGTTTAATTTTATGGGACTCAAAAAATGCCAGAACAGCACCACCTACAACAGCCAATGGGAGTTTCAGAGGTCAAGTTTGTCGTAGAGCCATGAAATTCGGTACACATGTTCCTCAAGTCAAGATACGACCGAAATGTTATCATGGCTCCGCCCTCTGACAAACAGGAGGCCCATAAATTTCACTGCAAAATGGAAAAATGATTCGCAATCATTTTCATACATGTCGGTTGGAAAGCGACTCCTCCTCGGCCGTTTCACCGATTGGCCTCCATATCACTCCACGTTGTCTAAACACATGTACCATCAAAATGACCTCAGGGATTTTTGATCAGTGAAACGTTGTTTGAGCAGCGGAGCGGCAAAATGTGAGTGTTTATTGGCCGTTTTTCACAACCTTCTATCTGCTCCCGTTTACACATACAAATTCCGATTTGCACAAAACTTGAATCCATGGTTCAACTCTAGGGTCTAGGTCATTTGAAAGTGAAATAATTGAACTTGGCTCATTAACGCCCCCTACAGACAATTTCAGAGTTTTTAGTATGAAAAACTCTGAAAACTTTGACTCCATCTGTAGGGGCACTAATGAGCCAAGTTCTTTTATTTCACTTTCAATTGACCTAGACCCTAGAGTTAAACAATGTATTAAAGTTTTGTGCAAATCAGACTTTGTATGTGCAAACGGGAGCAAATTTAATATTGTCCAAAACGGCCAAAAAAAGGTCACAATTTGCAGCTCCCCTGTTCGAACAACGTTTCACTGATGAAAAATCGCCGAAGTCATTTTCAAGGTACATGTGTTGAGATGATCTGGAGCGATTTTGAGGCGAATCGGTGAAACGGCCGAGGAGGAGTCGCTTTCCAACCGACATGTATGAAAATGATTGCTGTTCATTTTTCCATTTTGCAGTGAAATTTATGGGCTTCCTGTATGTCAGAGGGCGGGGCCATAATAAAAAAAATGTCATGTCTTGACTAGAGGAACATGTGTACCGAATTTCATGGCTCTACGAAAAACTTGACCTCCAAAAAATCCCATGGGGGTATTATTAGTTTGGTGAAAACAAATGGTGGCGGTGCGTGACGGACGCGTCAGCGCCCGTCACTCACCAAAACGTGACGGTTGCATGCGTAAACTCAAACGCTTTAAAATGATGTATCACGTGCCATTGAAACCTATATTGTTTTTGCTCGAGACGTTAAAAAAAAAATCCTTTTTTAGGCCCGAGCCCCGAACGGGGTAAGGGCCTATTGCTTTCACAATGGTGAAAACAACCGTGATGCGGGACGGCGTGGTGCAGGGCGGCGTGGTGCGGGGCGGCTTGGCACGGGGTGGTGCGCGCGGTGCGGGGGGTGCGCGCGGTGCGGCGAGGGCCGTTCGACGCCGCTTGCGGCTTTAATTTATTTCTTTCTTTTTTCTTCTGCACTTTGAGCCTTAATTTGACCCCCTGAACATGCATGAAAAGTTGTTAATTTGGGCCCAAAAATCAGACCTGGCGAAAAATTTGATATTTTGGTGTTTATTTTTATGGGACTCAAAAAATGACAGAACAGCGCCACCTACAACAGCCAAAATAATACCCCTATGGGACTTTTCGGAGGTCAAATTTGTCGTAGAAACATGAGATTTGGTACACATGTTCCTCAAGTCAAGACAAGAAAAAATTAAAGCCGCAAGCGGCGTCGAACGGCCCTCGCCGCACCGCGCGACCCCCTGCACCGCGCGCACTCCCCGCACCGCGCGCACCACCCCGTGCCACGCCGCCCCGCACCAAGCCACCCCGCCCTACACCACGCCGTCCCGCATCACACCAAGCCGCAACGCGCCGCTCCACAACGCCCCGCACTACGCCGCACAACACCGTACCACGCAGCACCGCGCAAAGGAGGTGGCACCGCCGTGTGATGACTTGTTCCCGTAGTCATAGAAGAATGTTAGTCAAATTGTAATGAATATGATAAGTAGAGCTGGTTTGGCTCCCCATGTAAACTTTGCTTCAGTCTGTAGGGGGCGCTAATGGGCCAATTTCAAATATTTCACTTTCACCTGACCTAAACCCTGGAGTTGAACAATGGATTCAAGTTTAATGCAAATCAGACTTTGTTTGTGCAAACGGGAAAAAAAATTAATGTTGTCAAAAACGGCCAAAAAAACCCTCACATTTTGCCGCTCTGCTTCTCAAACAACGTTTGACTGATTAAAATTCCCTGAAGTAATTTTGAAGGTAAATGTGTTGAGATGATTTGGAACAATTTTGAGGCCAATCGGTGAAACGGCCGAGGAGGAGTCGCTTTCCAACCGACATGTATGAAAATGATTGGTTTTCATTTTTCCATTTTGCAATGAAATTTATGGGCTTCCTGTTTGTCAGATGGCTTAGCCATAATAACATTTTTTCCATGTCTTGACTTGAGGAACATGTGTTCCAAATTACATTGCTCTACGACAATTTTGACCTTGAACCCATCCCATAGGCATTTTTAAATTGGCTGTTGTAGGTGGCGCTATAGAGCCAATTTCAAAATTTTAACTTTCAAATGACCTAGACCCAAGAGTTAAACCATGGATTCAAGTTTTGTGCCAATGACACTTTGTTTATGCAAACGGAAACTATTTTTCTATTGTCAAAAACTGAAAAAAATATGCCACTTTTTGGCGCTCTGCTGCTCGAACAACGTTTCACTGATCAAAATTCCCTGAAGTCATTTTGATGGTACATGTGTTGAGATGATGTGGAGCGATTTTGAGGCGAATCGGTGAAACGGCTGTGGCTGGTATGATGTTTGTGTGAGGTGTACATTTGCAATGAATGGGGAGCGTTTCTCGTCGCCACGGCAACAGGGTAAAAAATAAGCCTTGGACCCAATTGACTTTTTGAATCAACAGGGCAAAACAGATTTATGTGCAAAATGTCAAACATTTTGAAAAAACTAAATTTGAAAATGCCCATCTAAAACTTTGAAATAGTCTCTAGGGGGCGCTAATGTGTCAATTTGAATTAATTCAATTTCAAAGGACCTAGACCCTAGAGTTGAACAATCTATTAAAGTTTTGTGCAAATCAGACTTTGTTTGTGCAAACGGGAGCAAATAGAAGGTTGTGAAAAACGGCCAATAAACACTCACATTTTGCCGCTCCGCTGCTCAAACAACGTTTCACTGATCAAAAATCCCTGAGGTCATTTTGATGGTACATGTGTTTAGACAATGTGGAGTGATATGGAGGCCAATCGGTGAAATGGCCGAGGAGGAGTCGCTTTCCAACCGACATGTATGAAAATGATTGCGGATCATTTTTCCATTTTGCAGTGAAATTTATGGGCCTCCTGTTTGTCAGAGGGCGGAGCCATGATAACATTTCGTATCTTGACTTGAGGAACATGTGTACTGAATTTCATGGCTCTACGACAAACTTGAACTCTGAAACTCCCATTGGCTGTTGTAGGTGGCGCTGTTCTGGCATTTTTTGAGTCCCATAAAAATAAACACCCAAATACCAAATTTTTCACCAGGTCTGATGTTTGGGCAAAATTTTACAACTTTTCATGCATGTTCAGGGGGTGAAATTAAGGTTCAAAGTGCAGAATTTGACATCTCTCGAGCAAAAACAATAGGCCCTTTCCCCGTTCGGGGCTCGGGCCTAATAAAAAAGGATTTTTTTTTTAAACGTCTCGAGCAAAAACAATATAGGTTTCAATGGCACCTGATACATCATTTTAAAGCTTTTGAGTTTACGCACGCAACCGTCACCATTTGTTTTCATCATTGTGAAAGCAATAGGCCCTTACCCCGTTCGGGGCTCGGGCCTAATAAATAAATAAATAAAAAAGGAATTTTTTTTGACTTGGCTCGAGCAAAAACAATATAGGTTTCAATGGCACGTGATTCATCATTTTAAAGCGTTTGAGTTTATGCACGCAACTGTCACGTTTTAGTGAGTGACGGGCGCTGACACGTCCGTCACGCACCGCCACCATTTGTTTTCACCATTGTGAAAGCAATAGGCCCTTACCCCGTTCGGGGCTCGGGCCTAAATATTATTATGGCCCCGCCCTCTGACAAACAGGAAGCCCATAAATTTCACTGCAAAATGGAAAAATGAACAGCAAAAGTTTTCATACATGTCGGTTGGAAAGCGACTCCTCCTCGGCCGTTTCACCGATTCGCCTCAAAATCGCTCCACATCATCTCAACACAGGTACCATCAAAATGACTTCAGGGAATTTTGATCAGTAGCAACAGAGCGCCAAAAAGTGGCGTATTTTTTTTCAGTTTTTGACAATAGAAAAAAAAATTCCGTTTGCACAAACAAAGTGTGATTGGCACAAAACTCGAATCCATGGTTTAACTCTTGGGTCTAGGTCATTTGAAAGTTTAAATTTTGAAATTGGCTCTATAGCGCCACCTACAACAGCCAATTTAAAAATGCCTATGGGATGGGTTCGAGGTCAAAATTGTCGTAGAGCCATGTAATTTGGAACACATGTTCCTCAAGTCAAGAAATGGATAAAATGTTATTATGGCTAAGCCCTCTGACGAACAGGAAGCCCATAAATTTCATTGCAAAATGGAAAAATGAAAACCAATCATTTTCATACACGTCGGTTGGAAAGCGACTCCTCCTCGGCCGTTTCACCGATTGGCCTCAAAATTGTTCCAAATCATCTCAACACATTTACCTTCAAAATGACTTCAGGGAATTTCAATCAGTGAAACGTTGTTTGACAAGCGGAGCGGCAAAATGTGAGGGTTTTTTGGCCGTTTTTAACAACATAAATTTTTTTCCCGTTTGCACAAACAAAGACTGATTTGCATTAAACTTGAATCCATTGTTCAACTCCAGGGTTTAGGTCAGGTGAAAGTGAAATATTTGAAATTGGCCCTTTAGCGCCCCCTACAGACTGATTCAAAGTTTACATGGGGAGCCAAACCAGCTCTACTTATCATATTCATTATAATTTGACTAAGTTCTTCTATGGCTACGGGAACCAATCATCACACGGCGGCGCCACCTCCTATGCGCGGTGCTGCGTGGTACGGTGTGGTGCGCCGTAGTGCGGGGCGTTGTGGCTTGGTGCGGGGCGGCGTGATGCGGGACGGCGTGGTGCAGGGCGGCGGGGTGGTGCGCTGGGTGCGTGCGGTGTGGGGGGTGCGTGCGGTGTGGGGGGTGCGTGCGGTGTGGGGAGTTGCGCGGTGCGGCGAGGGCCGTTCGACGCCGCTTGCGGCTTTAATTTTGACTGCTCCCATTCAAAATCAATGGAATTCGGAGAATTTCCACCAAAATGTTTAGTTTTCCGCAAGATTGATTCAAAACAGGTCATTTATACGTTGTTTTTTCTTTTTACATTCATTCACATTCATTAAGTGCTAAACCGGTTAGTATGACTTTAAATACAACATAAACAGTTAAAGACCAAAGGCTAACTGCTGGCAAGTAAACAGTGTGTCGCAATGGTAATTAGCACTTGGTCTTCGCTGTCCTTACACCCTCAATCCTGAGGGTGTTTTATCTATGGCCCATGCTCATGCGGGTGTATTCTCTACAATCCACGCTGACCTGTTCTCTCCAAGCCAAACTGACCTGAGGGTGTGTTCTCCACAGGCCATGCTCACCTGAGGGTGGTTTTTCCACACGTCATACACCACTTTGAGAATGTGCAGCTTCCCCTCATCACTCTCCGTCAGGGCCTTCAGGATCTCATGGAACCTGGCAGAGATAACAATTACACTCCAGACCACTTCAACTCTATGCACGTCAGTCTTACACAACATTATTTGTATTATTTGTGTTCATGACGTCCCCAAAACATGACTGATCTATAACTGACGTTTACTTTTGAATGCGCTGGAAACGGCACCAAGTCCTAAGTAGCTCTGAGACAGAGCTATTTTCTACCTTTTTGGCACTGGTCCAGACAGGAGCAGAGAGGATTCATGGTCCGAACCAAGCGGATCCCATCCTGCTCCACCCAGAGGCTACTCCATCTCTGCTGCTGTGGCCTAAAGGGCTTGTTATTGCTATTGTTAGCTTTTTAGAATTATCAATATTATTTTTGCTGCTACTGGACACCTGAACTTCTCCTACGGGGGATCAATAAAGTATCCATCCATCCATCCATCTAAAGAGTAAGAAATATCCAGGACGAGGAAAATGAGTGGGAAATTACCCGTCGCCTTTATGAGTTTTCCTCTACATAATTGATAACTGCCAAATACCGTTTTCCCCACTGTATATGGCAAGTAAAGCATGTCTTCCACCAAAACTGTAGATTATTGATAAAAAAACAAAACAATGTACCAATATATGGGACTATCCATGCCGTAAAGATATTCAAATAAATTAACTTTTGTTTATGTTGACAAAAGCTGCTGCTGATTATAACATACATTTATTTGGTTAAGTTTGAAAAAGAGTTGACCATGTTTAACAACTACTCATATTTGTTGTGTAAAATAAATTTAAACGCATGGGCAAAGCAACAATACGTGAGTGAAGTCTGGAGAAGCCGCCCAGTACACACAGTTTGACACTCACTTTCCCAGGGCGCTGAAGGAGTGGCTGCAGGACTTGGCTGCCATGTGGAGCAACGTCTGCAGAAACACGTCGATCTTCAGCGGGTTGAAGCTCTCCGCCTCATCTACACCACACACAAGTAAGAGGAAGATCACTCAAATTAGAATGTTATTTAGTTACCAGATACAATGAAAAGCAAACTGATCCATTTTCTAATTCATGTGAGCTGTGATTTGGAGCTGAGATCGAGCTATTTCATTCCAGCTCATGCAGCCAGATATTGAGAAATTATCAATTGAAAAATCTGAATCAGTAAATCTCTCATTTTTAAAATTAAAATTCTAAAAGATTATTCAAAAGCAACATAAAAAAATTAAATGAATCTGTGCACATTGCATCCACCTGAGTGTTACTTTAACATCGATTGAGAATTGACTCTTGTAGGACACAGATTTAACCAGTGTCAGGGGAATTTTCTATTGAAGTGAAGCTGCAGAGGAGAGACAGACATTGTTTTCAGACCACAGACTGGAATATGATCTGCAGCTCTCATGGAGATGACATTGAAAGCCTGACCCATTGCATAACAGACTATATTTTCTTCTGTGTGGATAACACAAACCATGGGTGACCCCTGAGCCTAAAGTCCTCCTAATCCTCAAGAAAAGGGCTTTCATTTCAGGGGACAAAGAGGAGGTGAAGAGGAACCAGCACAAGCTCCATTGGAGGATAAGCAGGGCCAAGAAGGACTATGGGAAAAAACTGGAGCAGAAACTGCATCAGGGAAACGCCCGTGACGTCTAAAGAACATCACAGCGGATGGAGTCATTCCCAGCCCCCACCTCTGACAGTACACACCGGTCGCCCCCCTTCTCCATCAGACTAGACCAGGTGAGGAGAAAGCTGAAGCAATTGAAGCAGAGTAAAGCCACAGGACTGGACGGGATCAGTCCGAGGCTGCTGTGCAGACCAGCTTTTTCAGGTCCATCTACGACCTGAGCCTCAAGGCCCTATCCTGTGGAAGACCTCCTGTGTGATCCCGGTTCCTAAAAACAGCATACGCCAAGGAGCCGGCTCACTACAGACAAGGTGTACTGACCTCCCACCTGATGAAGACCATGGAGCAGCTCATTCTCACCAATCTCCGCTCCACGGTCAGCCCCAACCTGGACCTTTTAATTGCTTTAAAAGTTAAAATACGAACAAATTAAGACACAAATGTCACTTTTAATGCCATTTGAGGCGAGATGTTGGTGGTTCTGTGTTGTGATATGTGGGTTTTAAGAGTTAAAGTTTCGTGTAAAGTTTGTTTTAAGCAGTCAACTGCTCCTCCTCCTTTTTAACCTTTAACATTTGCACACGTCATGTCTTTTTGCACAATCAGTGATGCCATCTATGCCAAATGTGACATGTAAATTTCTCCATTGTGAGATCAAAAAAGTTTCTTATTTCTTATTGTTTGTCTGGATTAGCTCTGTTCAGTTGGCCCCTTTTCTAATAATCAACAATCATGTGACGAACCTTTTGAAAAGAATGCACTGATCCAGCCTATGGTGGTTCGGACTGGTAACTGCAGTATTTACAAATATTTGCCATCGGTGTGTCTGGGGTGGAGTTCTCGATGGTGTTCCAGCCAAATGTCTCCCCTGGTCACTCTAAATTGCATTATATAGAAGTACATGCTATCGACTTCAATCACATTGATTTGACAATGGCAAGCAGCTGATATTCTTCAGTTGAGTAAAAATGTCCGTGTAACGCAGACAAATAGACACGAGGATCCAATTGTTCTTCTCACAAACTAAAGTATACACAAATATAAATAAAATCACCTTGAACCTTGAACCACACCCCCTGAAGTAGTTTAGTCTGTGCCATATTTGAAACGGGTCTTTTCACAAATCTGACTGGTGCGTACCGTCGTCGTCGTCCTGATTTGGATGGCACACCTCCTTGAGGATGATGAGGATCTCCTCGTTGGTGGCTTTGTTCTTGATGGCGTTTTGCACAGTAATGGCCATAGGGTAACCCGGCAACAAGGCTGTGGGCAGAACCGGGACAAGTGTGAGGTCAGACTCACAATAAATTTCCCAAAACAAAAAGTGCATCCGCCTTCTACATAAAAGATCTGGGACACTTGCTGCTCATTGTTCAGTAGTGTTGATATTTCAATATTGATTTTAAGTAAAACTATAAAATGCTAAGGCACAAGCATTGCGAGTGACTTATCCGTTGAAATTCAATAGTTATTTTGCATTGGTAAAGACTTAACCAAGTCGTTTTTTTAAAAGCCAGATATATTTTACTGCCATACAAATTCATGTTCACCCCTTCTTGAGCCAAATTCTTTCAAACTTCACAGCCAATAACAAAACATGTTTAAGATGGTAATTATAGGAATACAACTTTTTCAAAAACATAATTCACAGTTCCAACAAATTTAAACTACTATACTATAAAACCAATGCACTAAAGTAAAACTATTAAAAATGTCTTAACAGGAAAGGGTAAAAATGTGAATGGAACCACTGTCCATTCCCAATATAGTCTCTATGGTAGTGCGGCGTCAGTACTCACAGCCGGTCTCTTCAGTGTACTTGTAAATGAACAGGGGCTCTGCTGGGATAAGTGTGGAGAAGGTAGCGGGCACGATGTCCACGATGCGCTGATGGTACGAAAGTCTAAGGGGAGTAGTCACAGCAGACATGAGATGAGAACAGTCGGGACAAACCTGGAGGGATGGGGACTGCACCTCATGCTTTTTTCCAGGACCTCTTTGACAAACTTTGGCTTGGGCATCTCACGGTCCACTGACAGACAGTCGGCCCTGAAGACATGCACAGTAGATTTGGGTGTATGGTTAAAACAGGGCTGGGAACTATAGGGCTGCAGCTCAGATTATTTTCATATAGATTATAACATTAGAACTCCCAGAGCGATCAACTTGAGGGATTTTTGTTTTGAAATGTAATTGTTAGGCTTATGTAATTTTTTGGTCTTCATAACTTTGTGACTGTTCCTGTAGCTATATCTGTAGCTTATGTTTTTATTAAATAATATTTTATTTTTTTAAATGTGAGTAGTTCTTCCTTCAACACATAGCTTTCAATACAAAATTCATACGTGCCATGGTTAGAGGCCTTTCTCCCACCAGATCTCTCTCTCTCTTGGGTATAGTACAAATAATGTATTTTCTGTTGTGTCTGTATGTATGCTTTAACTATTGTAGGGAGATCAAAGAAGGACGGCATGAAAGATACCTCCTTGACCTGCTCGATCTAAAGTCCAGAATCAACACTGTGCCCTCATGGTCTGTCTTTACAGCCCTCTCTTTAACCGTTAAGGTGCCAACCAACATTTTCTGCTCTTCTATCAAGAGATAAGCGTCATCTCCCGTGGATATGGCGTCTGATCATTGCTTAACAGGGGATTTAAACAGTAGGCGTTAACAGCACGTACGCGTTGACTGCGCGCATAGGCGCGTAACATTATTTGGCTTTATGTACACTGGCCGTGTGCGCAGGTCCACGGCTTCTGATGCTCTCCCTGTGTAGTCTATGATACAGTGTAGAGGACAGTACGGGCCAGATGACTGATGTAGAGCAACACAAATCACATGCATGTGTTTGTCTTCATGGTCTCTGTTTGGCCAGACGCGAGACTTTATGAAAGAAAAAAACGAAGTCCAGAATCTGCAGAATCTACATCTGCTGGCAATAGCAGATGTATTTTGAACTTCATAAGCCACAAGCTATATATCATTTTAAAGCTTATTTTCTCAGCTATATTTATATGTAAGTGTAAACGATATCAGACTTTGCATTAAAAAGATATAACGCATAATATGGGCACAAAATAAATCGTGTTTGTATAAGTTTCCTTTCGTCTTCTGCTGCTCCAACAAATTACTTTCCCCATCCTTGCTTAGTCTCTTTCTCTCCGTAAGTCTTAATTGAAAAAGAATATCCACTTGTATTTCCCAAAGTATAATCCATTCTTCAGAAATAATCAAAAAATTTGCATTTTTCTGTTACAAAAAAAAAACGCTCTGAAAAATGTTCAGGCTTCTCTTTCACATTTCACCAAGTTTGAGCTTTGTTTACCCCCACAAACATCATATCCACGTGTTCCTTGAGTCCTTAGCCTCAAAAAGAGAGGTTCCATGAAAAGATAGGAGCAGTTCAGTCCGCAAGACCCTTGTGAAAAAGACAAACCGCATCCACTTGCAGAGGGTCCGTTTTTGCCTTGTTGTTGATTGATTACAGGCCAACGCAATGTGCTAGCATTGAACTGAATGATTGACGTGTCTAAGTAGCCAATAAAAAGAGCTTTCTTTTGATGGGTGGGACTTGTCACATAGATTTGTAACGTATAAGTACCAAAACTAAAAAAAATGCTTTTTATGATGGTGAAATGTTAGTAAAGCAGTTTGGCACAATTTGGCACACATTTTGCCTAATTGGTTACGAATGGCACTACTTGATAAAAAAGGGAAACTTTACACAGTTGTTGTCAACAACACAATGAACAAATTGGCATTGAAAATTTTCTTCTTCCAATGAATTTTTTAGGCGAGGCTTAAAAAAAAACAGGTTTTTTTCCCAAACTTCAAAGGATGCAGAGTAAAATAGGAATGACATACATTATTTCAGTGTATATTTAAAATGATGCATCACACAAGCATGTGAGATGTAAGATGTGTTTTTAAATAAGCAAAGACATTAGGGTATGCCAAACACGAGCAAAACAGATGTAGGAGTTTAAGAGGTTAGTGCTGTGTGTGTGTAGATGCAATCTAAAGCCAAGGGACACTATAAAAATCATGTTTCACATGTGTTTTCAATGGGAGACGCGTTGCTGCGCGCACAAAATTAGAAATCCATAAAAAATTAGGCGCAGCCTCGCATCAATAACACTAGTAGTGTAAATATCCCCATTGGTTAACATGGAAAAATGTTACGCGCGTATAACGCGTACGTGCAGTAACGCCTCCTGTGTAAATTAGCAGTAAGACCTTTGTTTTGCCAGTATCAAAGGATTGAACTCCTGTGTCCCCCCGCTGTGTCAGGGTTGGGACGCAATCACCTTTTTGAGAAAAAGGCGGAGGTAACCAGAGAGTAAAGACGAAGTCTGGGACAGTACACTACCGCTCTCTGTGGCAAACACTGGATCTACACACCCAGCACAAGTTTGAACAGGGGATGCATTAACGCACATCAGGACATTGATGAGATCTGTAAATGACTGTCTGATTTTTCAGTTACTAAGTCTGTGTCATGAATCCCGATGTACTTTGCTCTAAATTTCCCATCCTATTCTACTCCACTCCACTCCTGTGAGTCTGTGAAACTCACTCGTGTAGAAATACTTTCCACCCCCCACTGACCAGTCGATCGCAGGCCCCGCAATCCCGGACCCAGGCACACAGAAATCAGTGCTCCCATACCTACCCTCTCTCTCTCTACTCTTGCCTTGGATTTAACACGTTTCTTAAGGGACATTCTTGGTTCAACTCACTGTTAGACCACTTTTGTTCATGCTTGTTTGTCTCGGTAAAGGCCCAAAGAACTCGTGTTGGTACAATTGAATTGTGAGCCCAGCTTCTACCACATTATATAATTGTAATCACTAACTCAATTGTGCATTGCTGTGTTCTGTCCTTTACGAGTGCCTTCTTGGATACATAAACCACAGTCTTAACCCTTTAGGCGCCAGAGTTTTTTCAAGAAAATATACAATTTTGATTTCAAGATTTCAAAAGGCTATAACTTTAAAATGGTTTGAGATAAAGGCATACTGTAAATTAGAAATATCTTCAGTCTGAACCAAACTTTGGGATGGAAGTTGATTCGTCATCTAATTTGCATATTCTGACGTCATCAAGGTGGCGGCCATTTTGGAAAATGTTAATTATTGTATAAAGACTTCAAAAAACTGTAGCTTGGGAGTTATTTGAGATCAGGGAATACTATAAACAGTGAATGTGAAATATATCTTTAGTATGAAATGAATTTGGGATAGAAATAAATTCCCTGATCCAGATTATATATCAGGGAATTATATATATATAATGTTTTAGCACTGGTTCGCGGTCATATGGAATTTTATTATTTTCAAAGACCTTCAGTGATCAAGATAGCACTCTTTATAGTTTACAGTCATGAAATCTTGAGATTGGTTTCAATATTTCCCTTTCAGAGAAGTAGTGGGCTTCAGTGGAAATGAGGCTCCAGGATTTACTGTTTAGAAACAGAGAGATGAAATGAATGGGCACAGAACTTGTCAGATCGTCTCAACAACATACAACAGGCTCTTCAACACTTCTGATCCACTTTTGTGGATTATTTTCTCTCAAGAACTGCCTTCATCCTCATCATCGCTGCTGGTAAAGGCAGTGAACGCGATTAGCGATGTGTTTTTTTCCCGCGGCTCCCCCGCGACTTCTCCCGCGTCTCCCTTGTTCCCCGTGGATGTCTACCCCGGCTACTTTCTCCCACATGCCCGGTGTTATGATGCCCCTGTCCCCTCCACCACGGCCCCTGCTTGGCGTTCACAGAATGCTTCTACCGCTGCCACACGGAGGACAAGCAGCCGCTGTACAGGGGCTGATTGTGGACTATATGGCGCGGTCTCCCCGTCACCAATAATGTCTGTGTCTGCTTCACTGGACACCTGCGTGTCTTCCTCCTCTGAATCTGAGTGAGCCAGTACCAGACCAAGTACTTCTCTGGTACTGAAGACCTCGTGAGTAAAATAAAAAACACTCTTTCCCTCTGCTCTGCTCTCGCTCCTCTCAGCTCTACCGCTGCTGCTTCGCCTCCGCGCCGTTGCGCCGCAGGTGTTTTACGAACTCAATTTACTCAAAAACTTTCAATATAACCACACCCACAAATGTTGCTCATATTACAGGCACACATGTCCACTAACCCCTGGTGAAAAGTATTAACAAGATTCTGCTCCACATTTTTACATACAGCCTGTTTAAGTGAGCAATGTTGCTTGTCGCAATATTGCGACTTTGGCGCTTAAAGGGTTAAATTTGTTGTTAGGTTATTCTTATTACACAGTATATAAATCCCTGATTGTTACGGCTTACGCTCTTAGATTGAGACTTTAACAAGTAACTATAGGAATGTAATTAAGTTAGACTATCGTCTGTTTCAGACTGGTGCCCTCTTAACGTATATTCATTTTCCCTTCTCATAAATTGGGTCTCCTAGATCGCACAAATTTGTAAACTATTCCCTTAGAAGTGTATACATTCCCTACAGTATGCTTCGTGTCATTAAATGGCCTTTTTCTTTTTTAGATCCATTTGGTTTAGGCCTCAGTCTAAAAAGCAACAACTACCTTTTTGTTAAAACAGTAGCCATTTCTGGGCACTTGGCAAACAACATGCAGGGGCAGCTTTTTTCAAGGTGCTGGTCCAGGTGTGGTCCTTAACTTGTTACGAGCAATCTCAGAGCTTGAAGCAAGTGCTAGATACCGTAGCAACACACTGTTTACTTGCAGCATTTAGTAGCCTTTCAAGAGCACTATTGCAGTGTTTCAAGTTGCTTCATTTTAAAGGGACAAAGGGAAAGACGAATGATGGAAATGTGCAAGTCAATGGGACAGTATGGTCATAAAAACAAGAAATGTAAGGATTCTCTCCCCACATTGCAAAGACGGTTTGTGACTCACCAGTCGTCCCAGCTCCAGCGGAACTGGAAGTTGCTGAGATGGTGCGCAAACCAGTTGATGAGTCTGAAAGTGTGGAGAGAACAGGAGTTTACAATCAAGTTCAACTCTATTTAACACATAACCAGTGCACATAAACACCACAATCTACTCTTGCCCTCTAGGATAGCAAAGAGTCCTGGTGACATTGTGAGGTTTTAAACATTACAGTAAAGGTGTGGTGTAGGGTTATGGTTAATAAATGTTCAATATTGCTTATCTGCCGATTAGATTTAAGTTTTGCTCGCCCAACCACATATCTGCACATGCATTTGTAGTATGTATGCTGGATTTATAATAAATGATATAATAATAATATAATAATAATTTTATGTCAAATGCTTTTTTTTGGGTCACAATAACTGTTAATGATGTCCAATCCTAGTAGGACTGAACGATATGAACAAAATGTACTCTATCGTAGCAATCGAGATATCTGGTATGTACGTTGTGATGACTATGGTTTGGTGAAAGCAGCATTTTTCACAAAACTAAAACACATAAAATATGTGCTCACAATCTTTTTACAATACAATACAAATCATTGTTTCTTTTTTCAAGGATATAAATAAATATAATTTGGTATTACAGTAGAATTTGTACTTTTTTTAAACTCCAGGGAGTTAGCATTGAGACAAAACAAATAAAGGGAACACTCTTATCCACTAGGCAGTGGCTGTTCTCTCTGTGATTTTGTGTGATTTAAGTTGTGAACAAGTCAGACCCCCTCATTGGCATAGTGAGGACGGGGGAGAATTTAATTGTCTGTCATGTCTGTAATTTAATACATTACAGACATGTTAATCAGCCCTAATCCCTGGTGAGAAGAGGAGTTTGTGAATGCAGTGCTCACTTGTCTATACACGAGGTGTTCATGGTGTCTAGCCGCATGTACAGCATCTCTGTGGCCTGGGCCAGCTGACACACTGGGTTAAGGGCATACATGCTTGAACAATCCATTTATATTTCAGATTTTGATTCTTTTATAGTTTTACAATTTCATAGTTTAACTTTCTGGTTATAAAACGCTGAAATAATTCCTTCCATTGTATTTGTTTCCCGGACTTCCCTCCCCCTTCACAAGTCAAATTTACAGTGCCTTGCGAAAGTATTAGGCCCCCTTGAACCTTTCAACATTTCGCCATATTTCAGGCTTCAATCATAAAGATATAAAAATTTAATTTTTTGTCATGAATCAACAAGTGGGACACAATCGTGAAGTGGAATAACATTTTTTGGATCATTTAAACTTTTTTAACAAATAAAAAACTGAAAAGTGGGACGTGCAAGATTATTTGGCCCCTTTACTTTCAGTGCAGCAAACTCACTCCAGAAGTTCAGTGAGGATCTTTGAATGATCCAATGTTGTCCTAAATGACTGATTATGATAAATAGAATGCACCTGTGTATAATCAAGTCTCCGTATAAATGCACCTGCTCTTTGATAGTCTCAGGGTACTGTTTAAAGCGCAGAGAGAACCATGAAGACAAAGGAACACACCAGGAAGGTCCGAGATACTGTTGGAGAAGTTTAAAGCCGGATCTGGATACAAAAAGATTTCCCAAGCTTTAAACATCTCAAGGAGCACTGTGCAAGCAATTAAATTGAAATGGAAGAAGTATCAGACCACTGCAAATCTACCAAGACCCGGCCGTCCCTCCAAACTTTCATCTCAAACAAGAGAAGACTGATCAGAGATGCAGCCAAGAGGCCCATGATCACTCTGGATGAACTGCATATAACTACAGCTGAGGTGGGAGAGTCTGTCCATAGGACAACAATCAGTCGTGCACTGCACAAATTTGGCCTTTATGGAAGAGTGGCAAGAAGAAAGCCATTTCTCAAAAGATATCCATAAAAAGTCTCATTTAAAGTTTGCCACAAGCCACCTGGGAGACACACCAAACATGTGGAAGAAGGTGCTCTGGTCAGATGAAACCAAAATCGAACTTTTTGGCCACAATGCAAAACGATATGTTTGGCGTAAAAGCAACACAGCTCATCACCCTGAACACACCATCCCCACTGTCAAACATGGTGGTGGCAGCATCATGGTTTGGGCCTGCTTTTCTTCAGCAGGGACAGGGAAGATGGCTAAAATTGATGGGAAGATGGATGGAGCCAAATACAGGACCATTCTGGAAGAAAACCTGTTGGAGTCTGCAAAAGACCTGAGACTGGGACGGAGATTTATCTTCCAACAGGACAATGATCCAAAACATAAAGCCAAATCTACAATGGAATGGTTCACAAATAGACGTATCCAGGTGTTAGAATGGCCAAGTAAAAATCCAGACCTGAATCCAATCGAGAATCTTTGGAAAGAGCTGAAGACACAAACGCTCTCCATCCAACCTCACTGAGCTTGAGCTGTTTTGCAAGGAACAATGGGCAAGCATTCCAGTCTCTCGATGTGCAAAACTGATAGAGACATACCCCAAGCGACTTGCAGCTGTAATTGCCGCAAAAGGTGGCGCTACAAAGTATTAGCGCAAGGGGGCCGAATAATATTGCATGCCCCACTTTTCAGTTTTTTATTTGTTAAAAAAGTTTAAATTATCCAATACATTTTGTTCCACTTCACAATTGTGTCCCACCACTTGTTGTTGATTCTTGACAAAAAATGTAATTTTTATATCTTTGTGTTTGAAGCCTGAAATGTGAAATGTTGAAAGGTTCAAGGGGGCCGAATACTTTCGTGAGGCACTGTTTACATTTTATTACTACTAGTTACTAAAAACAACTATAAATATAATAAATAGATCATATAATACTTTTTTTTTTTTTTTTTTTTTTTGGCACACGTTTTGTGAAATGACCCATATATGTGACTGGTTTCAAAAGATACAACTTGTGGAAGTGATCCTGGCTGTAGCTTGCACAACTCGATGAGCAGTGTGGTGTACATGACATCAATGTGTGGAGGGGCAGGAAGCTGGAACAGTTGTCCAAAGACCACCTGCAGAAAACAGAGGCATGAGTTATGAACGGAAAAGACGAGAGCAGAGAACCAGAGTGTGCAACGCACCTCAACAATGTGGTAGTTGAGAGGGATTTTGCTTTTTCCCGGATAGCTGAGTAACTGTGCTGCACTGAAAAGGTCACAAAAGAAAGTGATTACTCATATGTAAAAAGTTCATTATCTCTATATTTTTCTCCAGTTGTATCCAGTGTCATCTGCACACCCAAAAGACAGGAAACAACTGGAGAAAAGACAATGTTAAATACAAAATTCCATGTAGAGCTTGCAAAAAAATACATCGGGAGAAACAGCTTTCAGAACCAGAAGAAAGGAACGCCAGAAGGGATGCGAAAAATCAATGGTAACTCACGAGATCAACTAAGGAAAAAGCCACTTGGGAAAACCAACCGGGCCATGGGGCAGTCAAACCGGGCCAAAGAAAAACCATCCATTATTTTAAAATAAACCCAGATTCTCTTCTTACATATTGGTCATGTGACATGAGCGCTGAGAAGTAAACAGAAATGTCCGAAATGTCTAAAACCACAATGACCAGAGGAGCCAGGACCAAGACTTTGCCCCTAGACCAGAACAGACACAACACACATCACTGTAGTAGAAGCATTATTCTGTGCCTACCATGTTTTGCGCTCTTTCCAGTGGGTCTTAATGATACAGTTGATGTTCTCCTCTATGACAAACCTCTCGACAGAGTGACTCCCCGGCATCACAGGACCCTGGCAAGGCAAGTGTTGTTTTGTTAATACACAAAGCAATTTAAAGTGCTTACCAAAACAAGATAGGGACAATCTTAAAAGGCATTAGTACACTAAAAAGAGTGAAGATACAAAAAGAGTCAACATACAATCCTTCAGTTGTATGCCCAGCAAAAGAACTGTGTTTAACCTGGATTTGAACATTATGTAAAAGCCTGTCTCACATTTAGCGGCATAATCTGAATGAAATACTGCCTCCCACATGCTGGCGTGTATACACTCACAACTGATATGAAATGTGCTTTACAATACATACGCAACTGCATTAACACATGTTCACACAACTTGTCCAACATCCACGGCCAGCAAGATGAATAGAGCTCCTACTTCATATGACATCCATATCTAGCATGTCTTTTACCTGAGCTGTTCCCTGGACACAGTGCAGAGGGTGGGGGACAGGAGGGTCCTGAACAAACTAACATCTATGCTGGACCATAACTGTCTCCCCCTGCAGGGCACGCCGTCTGCTCTGGAGAGCAGTTTCAGTGACAGGCTAAGTCACCCTCGCTGTGTGAAGGAGAGGTTCCGCAGGTCTTTCCTTCCTGCTGCTGTCAGACTGTACAATGAGAACTGCAGAGCCTGCTGAGCCTGTAAACGTCATTCATCTGTTTAAGTGTTACTGCAACCATGTCAATAAAAACTGGAACTTCAGAATTCCACTCAATGTCACAATTACAATTACCCTGCCCTATATGTACATACATACGTATACATACATATATTACGGCTGGGACTTGATTAAAAAAAAAAAAATCTAATTAGAGGCTTTGTAATTAATCGCATATAAATATTTGACCTGAGAACAGTGAGAAGTAATTTTTTTCCCAATCACGGGGCCAACCAACACGGTCACATCAGCTTCTTTGTTCATGTTCACTGTGCAACTGTGCTTTGTTGTTGTCTGAACCGAATTCATGCGCGTTAGTTGGTGCTCCAGTACAATCGGTCCGTCCACACGTACCCGGGTATCTGCAAATGTATAAAAAAACTCCAGGCAAAGTGAAGATTTTTGAAAAGTCTGTTCATGCATTTGCGTGTAGACAGAGATAACCGGAGTTTTGCGTTTTCGCACGTCACAATATGTGCCAAAACAACAACAAAACAAAACGTACAACCTCTGATCACTGAAGAAGCATGGATCTTACTGCTTTAAAATCTGCTCTCAGCAGCGAACATCCTCGCTCCAAATCAAAGAGCAGCAAAGTGGTCACTGGGACTCACGCTCAAAAACAACCAAAACAGGAGCTAAACCAAGATTAAACCAAGATTAAACCAGTGCTGAGGACGGGGGACACAATGCTTGTGAACATATGTCTTCATCCTGAGTTTCTACTATGACTGTAAAAGTGCCACTACAGAAGTACCGGCGTTAGCATAAAAACTCTGCCCACTTCTGTGTTTTTCCCCAACGCAGGACAGGACGTCAGAGACGCACATGTTTGGAATGTTATGAATGTGATTGTTAACGCAGATGTTTGGGTATGTGTGGATGCAGATTATTTTGTAAACGGAGGGGGGAAATATTCGGTTTTAAAACAACCCGGCTACGTGTGGACATGGCCTAAAACTCATCCAGTGAGAAACGTTCCGCAGTGCAAAAATAAATATGATGAAAACGCCACGAATAAAGGGTCTCATGGAATAACCATTCCAGCAGCACCCTAACCAATCCAACTGGTTTGTTGTGGGCAGGTTGCTCACAACCCGCCTGGATACGGTAACAGATACTAAGTTGCTCGGATACGGTACCAGATACAAAGGCGTAACACAACTAGGTAGAGTCGAGTCGGGCCAAGGAAGGCTGGTGGAAACGGCGCTTTAGTGTGCTGGGCTGCAGGCCCTACCTCTGGGGCATCTGTGTAGTCGAACATGCGAAAGATGACACGGGGCATGGGGTAGCGGGCGTCAGGCATGTGTCCTGGGGGGGTGAAGGGAGGCAGGTTGTGTTGTAGAGCCTCACACAGCACACTGTCAAAGGCGATGTACGGACGAAGGATGTGACGCTCCTGCCAGCGGTCTTTCTTCAGCTTCTGGATCTGAGCCCACAGGCAGTCAAGGTACTAGACACACACACACACACCTTTAATGTTTAATTCTGTTTTCAAAGATAAACAAACAGAATTCACAAAATTTTCAAAACACAGAATTCTTTCATGACTGAATGATTACATGACAATAATTATTTATACAGCTCTACACAAACGGTCATCCTGACACTTTATAGACTAAGACTACAGGGAAGCAGACTAAGGATGTGAGCATATTTTGTAAGGGATATAGTCTTATTTAAGTACTAATAGTTAAATATTAGTTATTATCCTCCTACGGGATCTATAAAGTATCTATTAGTGATGTGCTGAGCGCACCGAGTCTTCAAAGTTTGTACCGAGCAATCTAGGAGAGTTATTTTATTAAGCGTGGGTCAAAGCGATTGTTGGTGACGTATGTGGTGACGTTCGAATCCTCGCGTGGCGGCCGCACCAAATGACGGTTCATTGAGGCTCTTATAATTCGGAGAGTGCATCGTTTCGACAGGTTGCTTTGTGATTCGCGGCTTTACCCGTCTGTCTCTGTGTGCATGATGTAGAGCAGTCCTGTACCTAAGTATAGCAAATATACTTCATATGATAAAACAATTGAATCTTCTCACTTTGAGGTTTTACTAGTTTCATATATCCAGGTCTGCCTTAATGTCAAGATTTCTTTCTTTTGTTTAAGATAATTAAGCATTGGAACACATGTGAAAGTTGCGAGGCATAGTCTGTAGTTGTTGGACTCCAATGCAGAAGATAGTTGGTTCAAATCCCATTAAAGGCAAATTTAGTTTTGTATTGGAAATGTAATAAATATATTTCATTTCTGGGAAATAAATGGTTTGTTGTGTTATCTAGGAGTTTCTTTTGTTCACCTAATGTGAGTTTTTCCTCAATTAAACACTTTTTTGAAAAACTGCATTGCTTTGGATGCATTATGTTTGCTGCTTCAACACAATTGACTGAAAGCCTCAAATAGTTCATAAAGGATTGTTTCGAACACAACATATTTAGACCATAGACAGTAAATATTAATATTAAGCCCCACCATTCATTGTAAGCACTTAAGAGTGTTATATAGGTTTTGTCCACATGGTGACGTCGTGGAGCAAGAATCACCAAGCCGTCCAACAATGGGCCGAGTAGTGGTGCTTTCACACCGGATCGTGCATTGCGGCGACTTTCAATGCAAAGTCAATGGTGACGCGCGACCGTGCGTCAAACTGCATGTGCGTCTTGGGATGCACGCACGGACTGCGCGGTAGAGATGCAGGGACTGCGCGGCAAAGGCGCAGGAGCGGAAAATCATTGCACGCAGGAGATAATTATTGCTGAGCATTTCCTCGGGACGCTCGTGCAGCGACCAATCAGAGCTATCAGTATGAGGACTCATGGCACACAAACTGAACATACTCGTAAACAGCCAAAACAGGAGCTACACCAGGACTAAACCAGGGTTGACAAAGGGGGTGTTGGTATGGATTTTCCCCATGATCTGATGTGCATGTCCCCCCCTCCATGGGGGACAGCTTGCTCCTGTCTGACCCCCCTGATCAATTAAGTGGAACCTGGGAGTAACCTCACAGCCAGTATATAGATAGCTGGGATGGATTAGTTTGGGCTCTTGGTCGGTGTCAACTCTCTATGCAACATGTAGCAGGCTAATGCTGAGGCCCAGAGCCTCCGGGGTCCTCTCTCTCTCCAACCATCTCTCCTTGGGGTATGATATTTTCTGTTATGTCTGTATGTATTTTGTTATAATTCAGTGTCATTAAATGTCCTCTTTTATATCTACTGGTTTGGGCCTAGTTTGTACAGCAACGATTACATTTTCATGATAACAGGGGGCTTGTGAACATATGCGTTTTCATGCTCCCGTGACTTTATGCAACTGCTTCGAGCGTGTTTGCCAATGCGGAACTATCGTTTAATAATAAAATACACGAATGGCACACCTTCGTGAACACATACTGCTGTTATATAAAGTCTCTGGAAGGTCTCTGGACAAAGAGACGCTGCAGAACTGCATTATTGGAGAAGGACTTCACACAAAAAGCCGCTAGCTTAACTCTGTTAGCATCAAAGTCTGCCCGCTACTTCCGCCACTTCCGGCGGGCGCCACCGCCAGGACTTCTGGTGTGAAGACCCCTGCATCTGAAAATTAGAGAATGTGCGTCTGGTGCACAAGGCATCAGCGTTCCAGCGTCGGAGGTGTGAAAGCACCATAATAGGCTGCAATCCCTCAATGCTTCATGGGGCTTCATATTGCCATCACTAGTACAGTGCCTTGCAAAAGTATTCGGCCCCCTTGAACCTTTCAACATTTCGCCACATTTCAGGCTTCAAACATAAAGATATAAATTTCTAATTTTTTGTCATGAATCAACAACAAGTGGGACACAATCGTGAAGTGGAATAACATTTATTGGATAATTTAAACTTTTTTAACCAATAAAAAACTGAAAAGTGGGGCGTGCAATATTATTCGGCCCCTTTACTTTCAGTGCAGCAAACTCACTCCAGAAGTTCAGTGATTCAGATTCAGAATTGGATCTTTGAATGATCCAATGTTGTCCTAAATGACTGATGATAATAAATAGAATGCACCTGTGTGTAATCAAGTCTCCGTATAAATGCACCTGCTCTTTGATAGTCTCAGGGTTCTGTTTAAAGCGCAGAGAGAACCATGAAGACAAAGGAACACACCAGGCAGGTCCGAGATACTGTTGTGGAGAAGTTTAAAGCCGGATTTGGATACAAAAAGATTTCCCAAGCTTTAAACATCTCAAGGAGCACTGTGCAAGCAATTGTATTGAAATGGAAGGAGTATCAGACCACTGCCATCTACCAAGACCCGGCCGTCCCTCCAAACTTTCATCTCAAACAAGGAGAAGACTTATCAGAGATGTAGCCAAGAGGCCCATGATCACTCTGGATGAACTGCAGATAACTACAGCTGAGGTGGGAGAGTCTGTCCATAGGACAACAATCAGTCGTGCACTGCACAAATCTGGCCTTTATGGAAGAGTGGCAAGAAGAAAGCCATTTCTCAAAGATATCCATAAAAAGTATCGTTTAAAGTTTGCCACAAGCCACCTGGGAGACACACCAAACATGTGGAAGAAGGTGCTCTGGTCAGATGAAACCAAAATCGAACTTTTTGGCCACAATGCAAAACGATATGTTTGGCGTAAAAGCAACACAGCTCATCACCCTGAACACACCATCCTCACTGTCAAACATGGTGGTGGCAGCATCATGGTTTGGGCCTGCTTTTCTTCAGCAGGGACAGGGAAGATGGCTAAAATTGATGGGAAGATGGATGGAGCCAAATACAGGACCATTCTGGAAGAAAACCTGTCTGCAAAAGACCTGAGACTGGGACGGAGATTTATCTTCCAACAGGACAATGATCCAAAACATAAAGCCAAAATCTACAATGGAATGGTTCACAAATAGACGTATCCAGGTGTTAGAATGGCCAAGTCAAAGTCCAGACCTGAATCCAATCGAGAATCTGTGGAAAGAGCTGAACACTGCTGTTCACAAACGCTCTCCATCCAACCCCACTGAGCTCGAGCTGTTTTGCAAGGAACAATGGGCAAGAATTTCAGTCTCTCGATGTGCAAAACTGATAGAGACATACCCCAAGCGACTTGCAGCTGTAATTGCTGCAAAAGGTGGCGCTACAAAGTATTAGCGCAAGGGGGCCGAATAATATTGCACGCCCCACTTTTCAGTTTTTTATTTGTTAAAAAAGTTTAAATTATCCCATAAATTTCGTTCCACTTCACGATTGTGTCCCACTTGTTGATTCTTGACAAAAAATTAAATTTTTATATCTTTATGTTTGAAGCCTGAAATGTGGCAAAATGTTGAAAGGTTCAAGGGGGCCGAATACTTTCGCAAGGCACTATCTATATTTAATAAGACGGCAATAAGATGGCATTAATACTAATTACAATTAATACTAATATTACAGTTGAAATTATATTACAGTAAAAAAGTGTAATAATTATGAATGAGGTGGGGTGTGAGGTATGGTGGCCGGGTTACCTCTTCCTGTGGGTGGGGCTTGTCTGCGGACCACACCTGGAGCATGGGTACGTGTGTCTTCACTCGCCTCCTGTGCACATGGAGCGGGCAGATTGGTCAGCTAATGGCATCCAACTCAAGATCAAATTAGAAAAGGTTGTTCTTTCACTGTCAATCATTGTGCTAAGCCCCAATCACATGTCCCCCTTTGCCATACATTAATCCAGTTTGCAGCTTTGTGATCTCGGTGAAAATTGAAACACAGCAAATGTGTGGGTTGCTAATGTGAAAGACACTTTGCGAAAGAAAGACATGAGAGTAAAGTGACGTTATAAAGGGCAGTAAGGTGATGTTATGAAGGGCTTTATAAAAGCAGTATAACTCACTTGAGGTATCCTTCGATCTGACTGAGCAGACGGTCCACCTCGGCATCCTTCTTCTCGTACAGCTCTTTTCCCACCCAGGGGAGACAGGACAGCACCACGTACACGAACCAGTCCGAGCGCACCTGGACACATCATATCAATCAATATCTTCGGTGGTCATGGGGAACAGGAGTGCGAACAAAGACTGCTCAACAACCGCTAATCACCACAGCATTAGAAAAAAGGTATGGCCGATGTAAAATAATATTAAATATTATCTATAGAAAAAGATTAGTATTAAATGTGTTCACATTTTGGCACAATGTCCATAAACATTTTGACTATGTAATCGACTTCCATCTCTCCCTGGATAAAAGACCCCAAACTACTTTCTGATTGCTGCTAAATCCTTATCCACATGAACTACGACTGATGCCAAAGTAAGTCAAAAATATAATATTATCATTAGATCAGGGGTCACCAATGAGGTGCCCGCGGGAACCAGGTCGCCCGAAAGAACCAGATGAGTCGCCTGCTGGGCTGTTCTAAAAATAGCTCAAATATAAGCACTCAAGCCTAGTGTATAGTCTCGCGGAGTGGAGCTTACGGTGGTGACGTGACCTCACTTGCGCAACGCGTGGATCACTGCAAGACCCTTACGTAGCCTGCCGCGCACCTCGAACATATGCGGCCGCCGTCGCAGACAAGCTCCGCTTTGATTGGTCCGTGTGTGAGAGAAGCCCCACTGTGATTGGTCCATGTGTGATTACTTTCTGGGAAGCCTGCATTTTCGCAAACTCTGAAAGTAATGGCTTTCTTCTGGCCACTCTGCCATAAAGCCCAACTCTATGGAGCGTACGGCTTATTGTCGTCCAATGTACAGATACTCCAGTCTCTGCTGTGGAACTCTGCAGCTCCTCCAGGGTTACCTTAGGTCTCTGTGCTGCCTTTCTGATTAATGCCCTCCTTGCCCGGACCGTGAGTTTTGGTGGGCGGCCGTCTCTTGGCAGGTTTGCTGTTGTGCCATGTTCTTTCCATTTGGTTATGATAGGATTGATGGTGCTCCGGAGGATCATCAAAGATTTTGATATTTTTTTACAACCTAACCCTGACTTGTACTTCTCACCACACTGTCCCTTACTTGTTTGGAGAGTTCCTTGGTCTTCATGGCAGTGTTTGGTTAGTGGTGCTTAGGTGTTGCAGCCTCTGAGGCCTTTCAAAAAAGGTGTGTGTATGTACTGACAGATCATGTGACACTTAGATTACACATAGGGGGACATCATTTCATTATTTATGTGAATTCTGAAGGTAATTGGTTGCACCAGAGCTTTTTATGGTCTTCATAACAAAGGGGGTGAATACATACGCACATGCCAGTTTTATGTTTATATTTTTCTCAATTCACTTCACCAACTTAGACTATTGTTTTCTGATCCATCACATGAAATTCAGATTAAAAAAACATTGAACTAAAGGCTGTAATGTAACAAAATAGGTAAAAAGCCAAGGGGGGTGAATACTTTTGCAAGGCACTATATGTTTATATATAGTGAAAGTATTCAGCCCCCTTGACCCTTTCGCCACATTTCAGGCTTCAAGATATAAAAAATATTTTTTTTGTCAAGAATCAACAACAAGTGGGACACAATCGTGAAGTGGAACGAAATTTATTGGATAATTTAAACTTTTTTAACAAATAAAAAACTGAAAAGTGGGGCGTGCAATATTATTCGGCCCCCTTGCGCTAATACTTTGTAGCGCCACCTTTTGCTGCAATTACAGCTACAAGTCGCTTGGGTTATGTTGCTATCAGCTTTGCACATCGAGAGACTGGAATGCTTGCCCATTCTTCCTTGCAAAACAGCTCGAGCTCAGTGGGGTTGGATGGAGAGCGTTTGTGAACAGCAGTCTTCAGCTCTTTCCACAGATTCTCGATTGGATTCAGGTCTGGACTTTGACTTGGCCATTCTAACACCTGGATACGTCTATTTGTGAACCATTCCATTGTAGATTTGGCTTTATGTTTTGGATCATTGTCCTGTTGGAAGATCAATCTTCGTCCCAGTCTCAGGTCTTTTGCAGACTCCAACAGGTTTTCTTCCAGAATGGTCCTGTATTTGGCTCTATCCATCTTCCCATCAATTTTAGCCATCTTCCCTGTCCCTGCTGAAGAAAAGCAGGCCCAGACCATGATGCTGCCACCACCATGTTTGACAGTGGGGATGGTGTGTTCAGGGTGATGAGCTGTGTTGCTTTTACGCCAAACATATCGTTTTGCATTGTGGCCAAAAAGTTCGATTTTGGTTTCATCTGACCAGAGCACCTTCTTCCACATGTTTGGTGTGTCTCCCAGGTGGTTTGTAGCAAGCTTTAAACAAGACTTTTTATGGATATCTTCGAGTTAGGCTTTCTTCTTGCCACTCTTCCATAAAGGCCAGATTTGTGCAGAGCACGACTGATTGTTGTCCTATGGACAGACTCTCCCACCTCAGCTGTAGTTATCTGCAGTTCATCCAGAGTGATCATGGGCCTCTTGGCTGCATCTCTGATCAGTCTTCTCTTTGTTTGAGATGAAAGTTTGGAGGGACGGCGGGTCTTGGTAGATGGCAGTGGTCTGATACTCCTTCCATTTCAATATAATTGCTTGCACAGTGCTCCTTGAGATGTTTAAACCTTGGGAAATCTTTTTGTATCCAAATCCGGCTTTAAACTTCTCCACAACAGTATCTCGGACCTGCCTGGTGTGTTCCTTTGTCTTCATGGTTCTCTCTGCGCTTTAAACAGAACCTTGAGACTATCAAAGAGCAGGTGCATTTATACGGAGACTTGATTACACACAGGTGCATTCTATTTATCATAATCAGTCATTTAGGACAAAAATGGATCATTCAAAGATCCTCACTGAACTTCTGGAGTGAGTTTGCTGCACTGAAAGTAAAGGGGCCGAATAATATTGCATGCCCCACTTTTCAGTTTATTTGTTAAAAAAGTTTAAATTATCCAATAAATGTTGTTCCACTTCACGATTGTGTCCCACTTGTTGTTGATTCATGACAAAAAAATTTAATTTTATATCTTTATGTTTGAAACCTGAAATGTGCCGAAATGTTGAAAGGTTCAAGGGGGCCGAATACTTTCACAAGGCACTGTATATATGCAAGATTAAGATTAAGAGATCCTTTATTTGTCCCACAGTGGGGAAATTTCGGTGTTGCATCACAGGTTATAGGACAGTAGGAAAAAGGAGCACACAGCACACGTTAAGTGAAATATAGCTATACTAAACAATTTAACTAAATAATTTAACTCTAGGACAGAGCTGGACTTCCTGATGACCTTGTCCAGCTTCTTCCTGTCCCTCTCTGTGATGCTGCTTGTTACGGGCCAGGCCCTTACTGTCCAGGAGAGGGAGCTGTTTGGGGTTTGCCTGCCTTCTCTGTCGTATCCTCCTCTGTGCAGGTCCACACCTGCACCAGGCCACGCCTCCTCGTCAATGGACCTTCTTCAGCTGGGAGCTGAGAGCTGCTCACTCTCTCCTGTGCTGCTTTCTTGGTCGGTCCTGTCCTGGTGGGCTCTACCTTGAGCCACCATGCCCATTCCTCTGTTGCACATTTGAGTTTGTCTTTTGTTTTAGGCACCACATGCACTGCACACCGGCTTTCATTGCACTACACTACTGATTACAACATGCTCACACCTCATACCTTGTTTTTGTTAATGTCATACTCGCCTTTTGTTATTATTAAATATACTTTTTGCACTTTTTACACCCGTTTTGCCTCCCTATTTGTTGTGGCCCTGAGCAGGCCGTAACACTGCTGCTCCAGCAGACCACACCGTACAAGATGGCTGATGCCACCAGAGTCATAGAAGGTCTTCAGGAGTGGCCCCTGCACTCCAAAAGACCTGAGCCTCCTCAGCAGGTAGAGGCGGCTCTGGCCCTTCTTGAAGAGGGCTTCTGTGTTATGAGTCCAGTCCAGTTTGTGGTTCAGATGAACACCCAGGTCCACTCTCTCGATGTCCTTTCCCTGGATTTTCACTGATTCAGATTCAAATTCCGTTTATTTGCCATTTGCAGTAAAAAAACCACATTGGAATACATTAGCAAAAAGTCACCAGTGTGCACAGACAAATACAGACATAAAACAACATTAAAAGTCCGGAAATAAAACAAATAAAACAGTAAACAAGTGTCAATGTGAAATAGATCGGCTAAAACAGTTTCAAAACAAGTGCAAATCATTAAAGTGCTCTGTTCAGACTGATAACAGCCTGTGGAAAAAAGCTGTTAGCATAACGAGATGTCCTGCATCTCAGAGAACGAAATCTTCTGCCAGAGGGAAGAAGCTGGAACAAGGCTTTTCCAGGGTGGCCAGAAGAGTCATTGATAATTCTTAGAGCTCTATTAAGAAGTCTGGATTTATAAAGAACCTCCAGAACAGGAAGCTCACAGCCCACGGTCCTCTTTGCAGAGCGGAGCACTTTGTTTAAAGCTCTCCTTTCTTTATCTGTGATGTTTCCAAACCACACAGACACAGAACCAACAAGCAAACTCTCAATGGTGCAGCGATAAAAGTTGAGCAGAATCTTAGAGTTAGTGGTAAATTCTCAAAGTTTCCGCAGGAAGTAGAGACGCTGACAACTTAACGACTCGGACAGTGTTTTTAACCCATTTCCGGTCGTTAGACAGAGTTAAACCCAGAAACGTGCACTCCTCTACAATCTGTACCTGGGAGTTGTCGATAACTACAGGAGTGTGAGAACTGTTACGACTGAAGTCAAAGACCAGTTCACATGTTTCCGATGCGTTCAGCTGGAGGTTGTTAGTTTTACTCCACTGAACCACATTTTGTATCTCTGCTCTATAAGAGGATTCATCATTGTTACTGATGAGACCAATGATGGTGGTATCATCAACATATTTAATGATCAGGTTCGAGTCAGAGGAGGACACACAATCGTGAGTGTACAAAGTAAAAAGCAAAGGACTCAAAATACATCCCTGAGGAGAGCCAGTGCTCACAGAAGCAACATCAGAAAAACAGTCATTGATTTTCACTCTCTGAGATCTGTCAGTTAAAAAGCTAAAAATCCATTTACACATGGCAAAGCTTAAACCGAGACGTGTGAGCTTTTCAATCAGTTTACCTGGGACAAGGCAGTTAAAAGCAGAGCTATAATCAATGAAAAGCGTTCTCGCGACAGATTTACTATTGTCCAGGTGACTGTAGACAGAGTTCAGAGCAAAGGAGATTGCATCATCCACACTCCTGTTCTGTCTGTAAGCAAACTGGAGCGGGTCAACAATCAGAGGGATCTGGCTCTTACTGAAGTCCAACACAAGCCGCTCAAAAGTTTTCATAAGAACAGACGTGAGGGCCACAGGACGATAGTCATTCATGCATGTCACAAGAGTTTTCTTAGGAACTGGAATGATGGTCGACTCTTTAAAGCAGTTCGGCACAGTACAGTTCCTTAGCGACAGGTTGAAAATGTCTGTTACCACAGGGGCAAGTTGCTCAGAGCACAGTTTCAGGATACGAGGAGGGATGCCGTCCGGGCCTGGGGCTTTCCGGACTGTGGTCCTGGACAAGACACGCCTGACTTCCTCCTGAGTCACGGTGAAGGTATCTTGATTGAGACAATCAGGGAATACAGTAGGACAGGCATCAGCAGATTTAAAGCGACAGTAGAACGTGTTAAGCTCATTTGGCAGAGCTTGGCCGACAGATGCAATTTTCCCAGTGCTAGGTTTCCACAATGTGATGGCTTTAATACCGTTCCACATGCGCCGAGGGTCATCTTCCTCGAAATAACCCTTTAACCTGTTTCCGTAATTCCGCTTTGCAGATTTAATAGAACAGAGTAACAGGATAACTTGTAAGCAACTGTATCATTAGATTGAAACGCCAAAGCATGCTCATGAAGTTTCAGTTTCACTTCCGCCTTCATCCAAGGGTTTTGACTAAAATGTTCTTAAATGACCTTCTGTGGGACACAGCAGTCAATACAGAAGCGTATGTATCTAGACACAGCGTCACAGAATTCATTAATGTCCTCTGACTGAAACACAGACCAGTCCGTAGCATCAAAACAACCTTGTAGCTTCATGCTAGCCTCCTCAGACAAACACTGCACAGTGCGTGAGGTTGGTTTATGTTCCCTGCTCCTCTGAGTATATGAGGGAAGAAGGAGAACAGGAGGAGTGGTCAGACTTTCCAAAGGGAGGTCTGAGACTGGACCTGTAAGCTCCCTTCACGTTACTGTAACAGTGATCCATAACATGTGCTCCTCTTGTAGCTTGAGTCACATGTTGGAAGTTCGGGAGTACAGTCTTTAATTTACATTTGTTGAAATCCCCAGCAACAATGATGACTGCATTAGGATGGGCAGACTCATGTTTGTGAAGGATCTTGCTCAGATCCTGTAGAGCTACAGTATAGACCGCTCAAGGGTGAATGTAAACAGCACACAAAAATATCACTGAAAACGCACGGGGAAGATAAAAAGGGCGGCAGCTCAAGACCAGGCATTCCAGATTGGGAGTACCTTTTTGGTTCTTGATGCGAGTGCCCGTGCACCAGCGCTGATTAATTAAAAAGCACACACGTCCACCTCTGGACTTGCCGGTGGTCTCCTTCAGTCTGTCCGCGCGGTGAGCAGTGAATCCCGGGGGCTGAACAGCAGAGTCCGGGACGTCTGGATGGAGCCACGTCTCGCTGAGACAGAACACAGCACAGTCTCGGGCCTCGCGCTGGCTCTGGACCCGACACAGGAGCTTGTCCGTCTTGTTTGGCAGAGACTGGACGTTGACCAGGTAGATGGAGGGTAGCGCGGTCCTGACATGCCCAAACTCCCGTGGCAGATAGGATGGCCGCACACCAAAGCAAGAATTTCAATGTCTTTCTCACACGCACGGACTGTTCAGTAGAGACGCACGGACTTGGCGGGAAAGTCAAAGGGGAGGAGCAGGGGCGAAAAATTGACGCCCACAGGAGATTGATTCTGCTCATCCTTTCCTTGGGACGTTCCTTGAGCGAGCAGACTGAACATACTGTTAACAGCCAAAACAGGAGCTACACCAGGCTTCACCAGAACTCAAACCAGGGTTGACAATGGGGGACTGTGTGCTTGTGATGTGTTTTCATGCTCCCGTGACCTTATGCAACTGCTTCAAGTGTGTTCGCCGATGCGGAAATACCGTTTAATAATACAAAAAACGTACGGTGCACCTCCGTGAACACATACTACACTGCTCACAAAGACTTTGGGCACACTCAAAAAACACATCTTAGATGTCAATCAATTCGATTTTTGGATGAAAATCTTTATTCATAGTGTGTTAAATAACATAAGAATGATACATGGAAATCAAATTCTCAGCCCCTGGAGGTCTGGATCCAAAATTATAGTCAAAATCAAAGTGACAAATGAGGAAACTGGTTGATCCAAATTCTGTAGAAATTCCTCAAAACAAGTCTGTAGTGTCAGTAGTCTGTCAGTGGTGTGTGAGGCCTCCACGTGCCTCAATGCACTCCCTACAATCACTGACCCACCACCAAACCGGTCATGCTGGATGATGTTGCAAGCAGCAGAACGTTCTCCAGGGCATCTCCAGACTCTGTCAAGTCTGTCACATGTGCTCAGGGTGAACCTGCTCTCATCCGTGTAGAGCACAGGGCACCATCGGCCAATCCTGTCCTCATTGGGCAAATGCCAATCGGGCTACACGGCGGGCTACACGGCGTTGGGCAGTAAGCACCGGCCCAACTTGTGGACGTCGGGCCCTCATACACCCTCATTGAGTCGGTTTCTGCCCGTTTGAGAACCAACATGTACATTTGGGGCCCTCTGGAGGTCCTTTTGTAGGGCTCGGGCAGTGCTTCTCCTGTTTCTTTGTGCACAAATGAGCAGATAGCTGTCCTGCTGCTGGGTTGTTGACCTTGGTTGGCCCCCTCCAGGTCTCCTGGTGTACTGGCCTGTCTCCTGGTATCTCCTCCATGCTCTAGACACTGCGCTGGGAGACACAGCAAACCTTCTTGCCACAGCACGAATGGACGTGCCATTTTGGATGAGCATCACACCCTGAGCAACTTCTGTGGGTTGTAGATGCCTCCTCATGGACACCTCTAATGATGAGAACACTGGACAAATGCAAAAGTGTTCCAAAAATACGGTACAAAGGATGAAGACAGGGAAATGGTAATGGCAAAACCATTCCTCTTTTTGAGTGTTCTTGCTAATTGCCTCTCAATTCCACCTGTTGTCTGTTTAATTTCCACAACATCAGGCGAAATTTATTCACAATAAGTGTGGCTTCCTAACTGGACAGTCTGATATCCCAGAAATTTGACTGACTTGGAGTTGTGTTTTTTGAGTGTGCCCTAAGTTTTTGTGAGTAGTGTATAAAGCCCGTGGAAGGTCTCTGAACAAAGACACGCTGCAAAGCTGCATATTGGAGAAGATCTGTACACAAGAAGCCGCTAGCATAGCTCTGTTAGCATCAGAGCCGGCCGGCTACTTCCGGCACTTCCGGTGCTGGCCAGGACGTTCTGGTGTGAAGTCCTCTGCGTCTGAAAACTGGAGACTCCTCGTCTGGTGAGCGAGGCTTCAGCGTTTGAGCGTTTGCGGTCTGAATGCACCATTAGAATACAATTCAAAAAACATGGTAGAGGTAAATATTCTTAAAAAGGTAACATTTGTTATTAGTTAACATGTTTTTTCACATGGAGCAGCTGTAAAAATTATACAGGGTGGCTTTAAAACTGGAATAACTCACTTTTTGACTTTGAAGCAGCAGTTCCAATTGTAAGCGCTGCCCTAGCTCTTTCCACTCCCCTCCCACACTCACAAAGCTGTTGCCCCCCACTACCCCCCTCCCACTCTAGCGCGTGTGTGGTTGTTTAAGGAGTTGGATACGTCTCGTCAACAGCGCTTCCCGGGTCCCTCTCTCCCGGTTCTTCAAACGCTTGGCCTTTCTCCGTTCTTGTAGGGACTTTCTTTTGGATGGCCGTTTGGCAGTATAAGAAGTAACCGGTAACGGAGACACAGGAAGTTTCAGGTTCGCCCCCGCCATGATGCTCGTCTACCTCAGCTGTCTGTGCGTGGTAACAAGAGACCTGTAGTTTTTCCTCAAGAAAGTGGGGGCCCAGTGGTCCGCTGTGATTGGTCAAATTCTCAAAATTTGATCTAGAATAAAATTGCACTCAAGTACAAACCAGAGCTACTTATTCTTCAAAATGACTTGTATCCCAATACACTGCATGGACATGGTGAAATTTCCTAATGAATACAAAAATAAAGTGAGGTAGTCCAGCTTTAAACTCTCCCATCTCCCAGACTTACCTGAGGCACATCTTCTTCCTGAGTAACACTGACAAAGTTTTCAAACATGGCCACCATGGACGGCGCAGCGATCACATGGCAGTTCACCAGATCCGACAAGAAGCGCACCTGCAGATACACAGCGACTTTAAATACTTAAAAGGGCAACTGCTGCATGAGGGGTCAGTAATCTTGAAGACAACTCATCGTTCTACATATATTCTAGAATGAAGAATTACAAAATACTTGCATGCCTCTAGAATCTTGTAACAAAACACATGCGGCCCAAACAATAATTGTTTAAAAACAAATTCACACAGGCATAGGCTTTAAAATGTATAACTTAATTAGTAATAATGATAAAAAGGATTCCTCCCTCGAATTAATATAGCAAATAATAAAATGGGGCAGGGGTGGCCAACCAGTCAGAGACTAAGAATTTTTTTACTGTGTTAAGCCTAGTGTATAGTCGCACGGCGCGGAGCTTACGGTGGTGAAGTGACGAGTGGGTCACCGCAAGGCCCTTACGTAGCCTGCTGCGCACCCTCAAAAATGTATGTAAGGGTCACCGCAAGGAAGCTCCGCTGTGATTGGTTCAGTGTGATTACTTTCTGTGAAGCATGGACCGGCTGCAGGGAGCATAAACGAGGCACTTCGGAGAAGTCTGCTTCGCGCTTCGAAGGAAGCGAAGGGAAAGTAGTTTGGGCTCATGGCTTGATATACGCTGAGACTGTGGACTAGAGTTCTGTTGCATATCTAACTTATATATAACTTATAAACTGTGCAGTCGTTGGTTTTGCACTGTTCCTGTCTTTGTTTGAATCTGCACTCGTAGCTTAGCACGTCTGTTACCTCCTGCACTTGTAAATAATTCATGTTTGTCTCAGACATTTACCACTTATTGTTTTGCCATTTGTGCTGAATACAATTTAATAATAACCATGTTTCCAACAAGAACTGTGTCTTTATTCACAACCTCACAGTTAAATTGAGTTGAAACGATGAGTTCAGAACGGTCACGTAAACCTACAGTAGAAACACATGTAATGATCTCTAACAGCTTCGCTATTGTTTTTGTTCTGAAGAGGAGAAAGTAGCAGCGTAAATGGGACAGCTATGGTTTCCCAAGCAACTCCTGTGAGATTGCCATCACGTGGTTGGTTGTGGGATTACAACATTCTCTTCAAAACTCCTTAAGGGGACCGCGCGACTGTACCACCAACTGTGGTTATGTAGGTCCAACGTAACCACAACCAGCGCCGCGCGAGTGTACAAAGGCCTTTACTGAGAAGAGCCACATCATACAAATGGCACACATAAACATCACCCCATCCCTTACACACACACATGCACGTACCTGCACATCCCCTAACATCCCTTATACACACATGGACGCACACACCCACCATACCTTACTCACAAAGACACACAAACACACCTCTGCTCAGCCAGAATTAGTGTAAACGTCACACGCCAAAATGATAATGGCAGAAATTGACTGCTACAGATCTAAAGGGCTCAACTCGACTCTACCCGATTTGCGGGCGTTCCCACCGGCTCGCTATAGCCTCTACCCGATACTTTTTTAGTAATGGCTTGGCCCTGGTTCTAGCCAGGCCGATTATGCCGCATTTCCACAGTATCAGTACGGTACAGTATCAGTACGGTACAGTACAGTACGCTTCAGCACGGTTATTTTGGGTTTCCACTAGTGGATGGTATGGGAGATTTGCGTACTTTTACGTACTGCCTCAGCCGTGGTTCCATCCCCATAGTACCCGTGCCATGACGTCACGTCAGCCCACTGCCTTACACTGATTGGTCAACGAGTGTCGTCACTGGAAGCGACATCTGACCCTTTGGGAAAAACAACTCAACCGCCATCTGATGGCGGTTTCACTGAAACTCACTGAAATGTATTTACTGTGTAAATGTTCGATTGTCTGTTGTACACAGTGAGCTAGCTACATTTAGCTTAATTTAGCTATCGATAGCAGCTAAGCTAACGTCCTCCCTGTGCTACTGTGCTATACCTCGTATTATCTGCAGTATTCACGTGTTGTCATTCTGTTTTGTGCTTGTATTTAAGTTGTCGTGTGTCTATTTGTATGAGAATCCCTTTCCATAAGTGTGGAGATTACCAACGAGTAATGAGTGACCGGAGTATTCTCCTCATCTGGTCTCACACATACGTACGTTTGACTTTGTAAACTGTTGGTTTTGCACTTTACTTTTGTTTTCAATAAATCTGTGATTGTATCCCAAGACTGTGTTTCATTCATTTATTATTATTGTAGCTGAGGTTTGGGTATCGATTGTTTGTCTGGTCTCGGAGTCTGCTGTAGTCCGGACACGAGTCCGGACTAGCTTAGCCTCGCTACCCCTATGGCTGCCGCTGTCTCTCCCTCGGTCCTTTATTGCTCGAGTTGCCATATGACGAGTTTAAACCTCTTCTGAGGGTAGTGATAGATGTGTTAAGTGTAGTATAGTAGTAGCTTTGGAATCCAGGGTTAGTGAGTGAGCCGAGTCTCGAGCTAGCGCTAGCGTTAGCTATAGCCTAGCAGTATCCTCGGACATGCAGCCCTCCTCCTCTGCACACTGTTACACAGGCTGCATTTGATAAAGGTCCCATTCAGATTGTACAGAGCAGTCAGCACCATTGACTTCACAGTTTCCGAGTCATTCTTTTAAGACATAAGCATTTTCAAAAACTACTCGTGCTGTGCTGAATTTTCTATTAAACACTTGCTCTGGTCCATAAATCCATGCACCGCATCAGTACTAGTTACGAGTCACACGTAAATGACGTGGTCTGACAACGCTGAGGACATACTAGGGGTACTATTTTTGATGGAAAAGCACGTGAACTGGGCCATGGCGCGCCGTGTAGAGTCAAAACATACCGTACTAGGACTGTGGAAAAGCGGCTGGATACCAAAACAATTTGACGTTGGCAAACGTCAATCTCTAACCAAGATTTTGTATTTGAGTTTCAACCCAGTATTCAGCAGATAACACAACTACTGTCTTTATTGAACCATGAATCCATAGTTCATTCTCTAACTACGTTTATTAAAAGATATAGCTTGATATGACACATAACATCAACACCACTTTGCTCTGCTGCGTGCTCTGCTGCGTGCTCTGCTGCGTGCTCTGCTGCGTGCTCTGCTGCGTGCTCTGCTGCGTGCTCTGCTGCGTGCTCTGCTGCGTGCTCTGCTGCGTGCTCTGCTGCGTGCTCTGCTGCGTGCTCTGCTGCGTGCTCTGCTGCGTGCTCTGCTGCGTGCTCTGCTGCGTGCTCTGCTGCGTGCCCTGGTTCTCTGTGCGCCCTGCTCCCGTTCACTTTGCACTCCAACTCGCATCTCAGTTCTGATCTGTTCTGGTTTTTCCTGTTCCTCAAACTTCCCGTTTCTCCCCCGTTTCCTTGCCCACATAACACGGTTTACCCATTTTGACAACTCTCGCAAGAAAAATAGCGATTATCACTCCCTGTCAAGCATTCACTAGCGTTTGTATGACAGCTGTAAGCTTTCTGCAGTCCAATATAGCGGCACAACTACCAGTTGCTATGAGTTGTGGGCATCGTGATGTCACGTGCACATCAACTATAGCACTGATTACCAGAAAGTCTCCTCAGGCACAGTTGATGGCCCCGAGGAGACTGTCTGGTAATACTCTGGCCCTCTGAAAAATAAGCTGAAGCAGGACTATAAAAAAACAAACTCATGACCACAACAACCGGAGCGGTTACGACCGTAAAATAAACAAATGGGTTTGGCGTAATTAGTTTTGCTTATACAGCAATCAAAACTCAGGATGTCGCCGAGTGGTCCTACTCTGCAGTGGAGACATGGCCACTGAGAGGACCGAGGGAAAGAACGGTTCCTGTAGAAGTTCCACCCTGCTCCTTTTACCGGGAACTCCTGCGGTGGAAACGCAACTATATAGTTGATGACCCCTGCTCTATAGAATAAACTGTTTGTTTCTTGGTTAAAATCGGTGCCAAAAAATTGTCCCAAAACTACAGTCAAAAGATTTGCTTCCCCCTGCCAGCCTCATGTGACAGGTCTTATGCCAATTTAAACAGCTGCCCATGCTCCATCACACTGGTCCCATGTTCAAATATAATGAGAGAAGTGTGCAGCGGTCATACGTACCAGGTAAACTGCCTCGTTGTACAGGTTGTTCTTGAGTGTCTCTTTGAGCTGTCGAATCATGGCCTCCACAAACTCTCCACCAAAGTTGTAGTTGCGGGCGTTAAGCAGTCCGACCAGCGTGGAGTATACAGTGAGTTTCTCGGGCAGCAGTCGGGCCCTGCAGGATCAAATGCAGAAACCAGTGTTCACTGTGTGCATATTACTTTGGAATACGCTGGAAATTATAGCTAATAGCTCTGAAATACTTGTTTTGTGCTTTACAATCGTTTTTTCTTACTTTTTTCTAGCCGAAAATTGTATTGCAGCAGAGTGTTCATGGTTTCACATTGATCCAGACAAGAGCAGAGAGGATGCATGGTCTGAACCAAGCAGTTCAACCATAAAGCCACTGGTATGTTTGCCATTTTGTTGTTTTAAGGCTAATAAAACATTCAGAATTTCACTCCAAGCATAGAAGATGGTCCAAACTAAGCAGACTCTGCCTACATCAATGAGAGAATAGGAAGAAGCTCATCACCAGCAGCTACTGCTGCTGTGGCCCATCTTGCTCCACACAGTGGCTACTTCACCTCTGCTGATGTGACCTGGCCTGCACCACCCAGTGGCTACACCACCTGAGCTGCTGTGACCCATCCTGCTCTACCCAGCGGCACTCCACCACTGCTGCTGTGACCTGGAGTGCTGTTGCATTTTAATACTATTGTTAGCTACTATTAATTTGCTTTGTTTGTATGGATGAATATGTTTCTGCTGCTAATGGACATCTGAATTTCTCCTATCTCTTTCACACACACTTTCTGCATCAGCACTGGATTTTACTTATGGACAAACTATCTGATAAAAGTGTCAATTAAAGACACAGGGCATTAGAGAAGCTGAAGGCTTGGGGGACTTACACTGAGCACAGGATACGCAGAATCTTGCTCTTATAGTTGGGAAGGTCAGCCTCCAGCACACCTGCCAGGCCCTCCAGGTTACTCTCCAGAGAGGAAGTGCTCTGCGACAGACACAGACAAACAGACACACACTTTTAAGCTTTTTTTTTTTAGTCATGAATTCTTTTGCCATTTCATCATTATGCTGATAATGAGGCAATCCTAATATACTTCATTATACAAGTATAGGGTTAGAAGTTCCTGCTGAAACACTAAGGCTGTGGCACCACTGACACCAGCAGCAATCTTACTGTGGATTCACCACCTGCCGGAGGATAAATGGGGGACTGGTGCTATGAGCATTGGGTGGCAGCTCTGATTGTAACCCCCCGCCCCCGATCCAGAAATTGACTAATAAAAGGGGTAGAAAATGAACGAATGAATGAATATGAATAATGAATGAAGGGCTGGGCGATATGGCTGAAAACTACAGTGGGGGAAAAAAGTATTTAGTTCTCCCACTTCAAATAATGACAGAGGTTTGTAATTTTCATCATAGGTACACTTCAACTGTGAGAGACAGAATGTGAAAAAAAAAAAATCCAGGAATTCACATTGTAGGATTTTTAAAGAATATATTTGTAAATTATGGTGGAAAATAAGTATTTGGTCACTTCAAACAAGGAAGATCTCTGCCTCTCACAGACCTGTAACTTCTTCTAAACTCGCTAGCCCCCGCCGGCGCAAACGAGAAATAGCAGGCAATAGCAGATGTATTTTGAACTTCATAAGCCACAAGTCTCAGCTATATTTATATGTAAGTGTAAACAATATAAGACTTTGCGTTAAAAAGATAAAGCATAATATGGGCACAAAATAAATCACGTTTGTATAAGTTTTTTACCTTTCGTCTTCTGCTGCTCCAACAAATTAGACTTTCCCCATCCTTGCTTAGTCTTTCTCTCCGTAACTCTTAATTGAAAAAGAATATCCACTTGTATTTCCCAAAGTATAATCCATTCTTCAGAAATATTCCAACAATGTGAATTTTTCTGTTGCAAAAAGAAACGCTCCGAAAGAGGTTCAGACTGCATTACACGTGTTCCTTGACTCCTTAGCTTCAAAAAGAGAGGTTCCATAAAGAGACATGAGCAGGGTCTGTTTGGTTTTGCTGTTAGCTACACAGCTAGCGCAATGTGCTAGCACTGAATGATTGACGTGGCTAAGTAGCCAATAAAAAGAGCTTTCTATTGATGGGTGGGACTTATGGGAACCCTTTTCATTTTCACAGTAAAAGCGTGCGTAAAGACGCTGTTACATTGCTGCGCATATTTTATATGCATTTACAGTACTAAAAATAAAAATAAATGTAAGACAAAATCACACAGATTTTTAAGTACCAAAACTAAAAAAAATGCTTTTTATGATGGTGAAATGTTAGTGAAGCAGTTACTAACCAATTTGGCAAAAATTTTGCCAAATTGGTTCCGAATGGCACTACTTGATAAAAAAAGAGAAACTGCATAAAAACTATAAAACTTAGAAGTCTGAAACTTTACAGTTTGTCAACAACACAATGAACATATTGGCTTTGAAAATGTTCTTCTTCCAATGGGCATTTATACATTGAATTTTTAGGCGAGGCTAAAAAAATAGGTTTTTTTCCCAAACTTCAAAGGATGCAGAGTGAAATAGGAATGACATACATTATTTTAGTGTATATTTACATTAACTGGAAGGGCCTATCTTTAAAATGATGCATCACACAAGCATGTGAGGTGTAAGATGTGTTTTTAAATAAGCAAAGACATTTGGGTATGCCAAACTTTAGTGCACGAGCCAAAACAGATATAGGAGTTTAAGAGGTTAAGAAGCTCTTCTGTCCTCCACTCGTTAGCTGTATTAATGGCACCTGTTTTAACTCGTTATCTGTATAAAAGACACCTGTCCACAGCCTCAAACAGTCAGACTCCAAACTCCACTATGGCCAAGACCAAAGAGCTGTCGAAGGACACCAGTAAAAGAATTGTAGACCTGTACCAGACTGGGAAGAGTGAATCTACAATAGGCAAGCAGCTTGGTGTGAACAAATCAACTGTGGGATCAATTATCAGAAAATGGAAGACATACAAGACCACCAATAATCTCCCTCGATCTGGGGCCTCCACGCAAGATCTCATCCCGTGGGGTCAAAATGATCATGAGAACGGTGATCAAAAATCCCAGAACCACGCGGGAGGACCTGGTGAATGACCTGCAGAGATCTGGGACCAAAGTAACAAAGGTTACCATCAGTAACACACTACGACAACAGGGAATCAAATACTGCAGTGCCAGACGTGTCCCCCTGCTGAAGCCAGTGCATGTCCAGGCCCGTCTGAAGTTTGCCAGAGAGCACATGGATGATACAGCAGAGGATTAGGAGAATGTCATGTGGTCAGATGAAACCAAAGTAGAACTGTTTGGTATAAACTCGACTCGTCGTGTTTGGAGGAAGAAGAATACTGAGTTGCATTCCAAGAACACCATACCTACTGTGAAGCATGGGGGTGGAAACGTCATGCTTTGGGGCTGTTTTTCTGCTAAGGGGACAGGACGACTGATCCGTGTTAAGGAAAGAATGAATGGGGCCATGTATCGTGAGATTTTGAGCCAGAACCTCCATCCATCAGTGAGAGCTTTGAAGATGAAACGTGGCCGGGTCTTCCACCATGACAATGATCCCAAACACACCGCCAGGGCAACGAAGGAGTGGCTCCATAAGAAGCATTTGAAAGTCCTTGAGTGTCCTAGACAGTCTCCAGACCTAAACCCCATTGAAAATCTGTGGAGGGAGTTGAAAGTCCGTGTTGCTCGGCGACAGCCCCGAAACATGGAGGAATGGGCCAAAATACCAGCTACTGTGTGTGCAAACCTGGTAAAGACCTATAGTAATCGTTTGACCTCGGTTATTGCCAACAAAGGTTATATTACAAAGTATTGAGTTGAATTCTTGTTATTGACCAAATACTTATTTTCCACCACAATTTACAAAGAAAATTCTTTAAAAATCCTACAATGAGAATTCCTGGATTTTTTTTTCACATTCTGTCTCTCACAGTTGAAGTGTACCTATGATGAAAATTACAGACCTGTCATTATTTTAAGTGGGAGAATTTGCACAACTGGTGCACACCGGGGTAGTCTTGCACAGTTTTTCCAATGTGGTTTTACTGCAAATGGCAAATAAATGAATCTGAATCTGACTAAATACTTTTTTGCCCCACTGTATATCACAATAAGTAATTCATATCGGTCGATAACGATATATGTTGATTGTTTTTGTATTTATTTTTTAAAACGTAAATAAATACATTTGTCTCGTGGGCTAACACATGTTAGCAGCCTTATTTACAGTCACAGGGGAATGAGGCTGGAGGCAAATGTTCACAAGTAGTCCCCCCATAGTTAGTCCTGGTTTAGTCCTGGTTTAGCTCCTGTTTTGGCTGTTTGAGTGTCTTATGTCCCCGTGACGGCTCCGGAAAAAGTTAATCTCTTGCTTTTGCCGAATGCATCGAGTCTCTGTACCCACTGCCTCTCCCGCGCTGCACATGCTGTTCCTCGCACGGACGTGCATAACCATTGACACGGCATTGAAACACGATCTTTAGATCCATGGCTATTATAATAGATCCATGATCCATGGTGCGGTTGTTGTTTTTGCATTTCCCAGAATGTTTTGCGTTTGTGGTCTGCTGTGATAGGTCAAGAAGCCTTTGCCTACATCCCCCAGAATTCCGTGCGCTTCTGACTTGGCTTTTCTTCCTGTGTTTTCTAACTGAGTGAAGTGAAACATGTTTGCACATTTCTTTCTTTTGCACGATCTTGAGTGTTTCTATCATGCCAGATGTGACATGTAAATTTCTCCTGTGTGAGAAAAATGAAGTCTATCTTATCTTATCTTAAATACTTTTTTACCCCGATGTAATTTGTCCAAATTGTGCATAATTTATAATTCAAAATAATCATACCAAAACAAAGATTTCCTGAACATGAAATATTCCCCAATAACTTAAAACACATGTTTAATCCACTTTTCAATCCCAGAGCTGAGTGAAACATCAAAACAGTCTTTACTCGTTAATTTTAAAAATGTACTTTTACTTTTCAAATTTTATGAAAATTATCCATTATTATGGATCATGAAAATACAAAAACATTACGTTGACAAATTATTAAACTCAAGAGTCCAAGAGTGCTCTTTACCTTCTCGCCCACGCGACATATGAGTGACTCCAGTCTGTCTTCAATCTCAATGGGCTCCGATCTCCTCCTTTTATGAGGCTGTCCTCCTGGAAGATCACACCACATACTTACAAAAGATGTTGTTTTGTTGTACACTATTGTACAACAAAAACAATGGACGTAAGAATACTGACAATCATACAAAAAAAGGAGTGGGAAGATGTTGAACACCCACTTTATTGCAAAACACAACTTTTTATTTCTTATATTTTTTCCAATGTCAAGAAACATAATACTCATTTACCTTCATGCTTGCGATATATATCTATTTTTTTATCTTGAGCATTCTTCTTTTTACTGTGCATCAGGGGGGTATACTGACGCATACCCTCTTAACCACTGAGTACATCATTACTTTTGTACATTTTCAGGCAAATCATTACGCCCCATGTAAAACCTGCAGTCTGTAAATTCAACTGATCTTTACATTTCAGACATTTGGATGCCATGAAAAAAGTATTTGTATGCTCCCTATGACCTTGTCAATGCATTATTCCTAAAGTTCTCTTCTTTAAAATGAGGAGAGGCTGAACTGCTCCTAAACTTAAAAATATCTTTAATCTGGTTGTGAACATAAATTTAAAAATAATCCTCTGCACGGGACACGAGTTTAGCGAGCAACATTGCGCAACAGCACAAGAAACCCATAGTGTAATTTGCCTAGAATTAAAGTATGTCTCATAAGACCAATTTGAAACGCAGTGCGAGATCCGTTTTAATCGATGAGCAAGCCAATAGAAGGACAGCTAAGCGATAATTGAGGACCTCAGCATGTATTCATCAATTTAGAAAAAACGTGGGCGCAGAACCATCTCCCATGTAAACAAACTGTGCAGGTTAGCATATACGGAGGTTGTTACCACCCCTGTGATACTTCCGTCGCTGAGAAAAACGGATTTTTGTTTGGGAACATTAACTTGTATTAAATACCCAAAGCACCTCTTGAACTTATCCACAGATAAGTCCTTAAATATAAATAACATGCAATGCAGAGCACCAGAAAAGAGGAGTATCGGAGTTAGCCCGGTAACATTCAAACCCGCACTCACCATCGCTGTCGTCGCTGTGACGTCTCCGGGACATTTTTTATTTTTTTTTAACTAGTCGAACGTAACGACGCAAAACTGTGCAGTTTAGTAGCCCGCTGTTAGGTTTGCAGACCTAGTGGTGCGTAGTTTAGAGTTGAAGCCTCCGCGGCGACACAAAAGCAAGGACAGCAGAACTTCCGTTGAGAAGCCGGGCTGCAGCCGTTTAACTACTCCGACTGGCTCCCTCTGCCCCAGTCTGCATGGTTCCACTGCTTACCGCGGTAGAGTGGCCCGGCTTTTCCAAATCTGCGGTAATGTGGGTGGCCCCTTTTGGCTGTTACTTACGGTGGAAAGGGAACCTGCGGGGATGAGCCGCCAAAATGCACTTTTTTAAAATTAAGCTATTGTTATTCGAGGGTTTCATATTATTAGTCCGAGCCAATACGTAGTATTGGAGAGGGCTATTGTTAATCACCAGTTTCATTTTTATTTTTTTCCCGCTGATAAGATAAGATGTGCTTTATTTATCTCACATTGGAGAAATTTACATGTCACATTTAGCATGGATAGAGACACTCAGATTGTGCAAAAGGAGGAAATGTGCAAACATGTTACATGCAGGATTACATAGGGTTATATATATGATCTAGTGCTGCTGACCATCACATTTTTGATCCTGAAGACATGCAGGAATGTTGACACCGTTTCTGTGAAAAAAAATCATAAAATGATCGTTTCAAAAGTGTCCAACTCTAAATTGCCTCCTGGAAATTTGAAGTTTGCAAAGCCTAAGGGAGCCACAAAGGCATATTTTAGAGTAGGTACAGGAAATTCAGATGAGTGATAGATCATGTGACCGCAGCCATAGGGCTCACATATGAGACAAGCCTTAGGGCTCACTCCCAATTCTGAGGCCCCTCGAGGTGTGAGTGCCCAAAAGTGCCTTCCCATAGGGAAGTGCACCCACAGGATATTCTCCCTAAGAAATGGGACACCCCTGGATCTAGGGGACAATATGCAAATGACGCAGCAAACATGTTCCACGTCACACACATTATCAATGTGTCTGATTTCACCACAGATAAGATCTGACACAGATATGACTTTTAATTCTATTTTATATGAAGATTTGCTATAATTAGGTACAGAACTGCTACACATCACGCAGAGGCACACACACGCACACAGACACACATGTACACATCCATAGGCAGGTAGGTGCTTTTAAAGGGCAAGGGTGAGAATTGGGATGGGGCTTTAGGCTGCGGTCACATGAGCAGCCTAAAGCCCGGTTTAAGTGGGCCAGGGCCCACTTCACGATTAGATCCGGGCATTAGGTACAATGTGACCGCAGCACGTGGACTTGAGCACTATTCCTGCAATCGTACTCAAGCCCGGTTCAAGACTTGGGCCAGAGCACACTGGATGAGGGGGAGTCAGTGTGGCGGGTGGTGGGGTGTGGGGGATGAGGTGTGGTGGGGACTTGATATTGTGCGTCACATTATGTCTTCCGTTGTGACGAGCATTTTCACACACTCTCCCTGCACTTTCGCATTCTCTGCTTGTGTTAAACCTTTCATATAATTCCCGGACCGTGACCGAGGGGCGCAGGGGGGTGTGTCGCTGCAGGGCCAAAGGGAAGCGTTTTCTAAGAGGAATAAATACCTTCTGTCCTGACCCTCGCTCTCAGTGTGGTGCTATTGCAATAATACTTCAGACATTCAAGAATCTGTCTTTATTTAATCGCCAGAACACACCAACACACACTTGTATCCAGCTCTGCTCGTACTCCACACTTTTCATTCTTTCATTCTCATTCATTCATTTCCCAGCACTCTTATGCTCGTTACTAAAGAGTGTGTGAGTGCACTCGTGTCCGCGACATGCGCACACACACACAAACACACGTTACCCACTGAACTGCTGCACTTTGCATCAGAGCAATGTGGTCAAGTGTGAGATGTGTCTTTCCCTAAACAACAAGATCCGTAGTGAGCTGTTAGCTACAGTAGCAGAGCGTAAACAGGAAGAGAAACGGAAACTCAACCAGGACAAGGTAGTCGCTGGAGTTAGTATTAGCGCCACCAGCTGGACCGAGTGTTGTACTCAGTGGGGGCGGGTTCCGGCTCAAAAGTGGCCAAAATTAAGTGCACTGACATGCTTGCAATACCACCCCGGGCCGATGGGGGTGGACCCGGAATGAGAATTAGCCAATGCTAACATATAGCATTGGCAGACCTCTCAAAAACGTCTTTACAGGATGGTCCAAAATTTGGCTCTTGACCCAAAGCTCTGTTCCACATGTGTCAATGCTGAGGGGAGTGAATTTTTTTGGACCACTCTAGTTTACTCGCTGTGAATTTTTGAAGTCTCTCGTTCAAATGAATGGGGCTTGTGGGCTGGACCACTCGCGGCCATTTTGGATAGCTCCACCAGAGCACAATTTTTGGCCCATAAGTTAGTAGATAGGCTTGACTACGTCTACGTCCTATGTGACCGCGCCCTTAAACTCTCTTGGAGCCTTGCTCTGGGACAGGCAGGAAGTTGGCCATTATGGTCTCGCCGCCAATTTGTGTTTTCATTTTTCGATTCGTACTTGTCCCTGGTTTTTCATCATACAGACTTCTACCATGTCATTTCCCAATTTTGACGCAATTATGTTATATAATCCCTTGAAAAAAGTTAGAATGCTTCACCGTTTTGTCCCACGCCATGGCAAATAAGGCCTCATTTTGAGAAACAGAGATAATGCTGAGTGTAATCTCTGAACCGAGATGAGCAAAACATTATATTACGTAAAAGTTGTACCACACCTGACCACTGGGGGCGCCCTGATTTCTTGGAATAAGCTTTTTGAGCAAAATGTTTTGTCTGATGAAGCTATGAATTCACAAATACCGTGTATGACCCGAACACAACAATATGCAACACACAACTCTGAGTGCAACAGCGCCACCTGGGAACTTCAAGGTTTTGTGTTTTTGAATTTTCTTCACAGAGACTTCTACAAGGTCATTTCTCCATCTGGATGGATTGGAGATATACAGTTTTCAAGAGAATGTTAGAAATTATTTTTATACTTGTTTTCATGCGAATGTATTCATGTTTGATGCACTCTTGGCCACAGGCTCAGACCTATAGAGCTGAAACTCACATCACTAACATTTGGTAAGGGCCTGAGCGTAATGGTGTGAAAATACACACCAAATATGACTCTAGAGCGCCACCTATGGGCTTCCAATCTAAACTTTTCCTATGCTCACCAAAGTCACACAGTCAGTAAATCTTAACATCCGTGCGAGCAAAATACTACAATACGCAGAACATGTCCCACAGGTGACCACTAGGGGTGCACTGAATCCAGTTAATGAGCTTTTCCTTCCGTAATACAAGTCTGATCAGGCTGCAAATTCATTGGTAAGTACACCTATTACGAGCCACAAGGTGGTGGTGTCTAGGAGTGTAACAACACCGCATGACGCTTATGGAATTGGCGCCAGGGAGACGGCTGCGAGAGTGGCGATGCCTTTCATTGCCGCTTGCGGCTTTAATTCTTTATTTTTTTTTGCCAAAAGGATTTGATTTTTGACACCGAAGACATGCACAGATGTTGGCACATGGGGGGTCTGAGTGCGCCCGGGAGGTGGCTGCGAAAGTGGTGAGGGCTTTCATTGCTGCTTGAGGCTTTAATTGAAGTTATAAGTGTCTTATTCTAAAAGAGTTTTGCGACTACTTTCACTGCACACTTGTTCACAAAGAATAGACCACGTCGTCTAGTCTGCGTGTAGTCTCAGGGTCGCTGAGTTTTGCTGGCTTAATGGTTTCCTGTGCGAGGAGGGGTGCTCAGTGTTGAAATGAGCAAGGAGTCAGTGATGAAGTTCCGTTTAAAGACCTTATGACGGGTTTTAAAAAAAAAAATAGTGGATATCAAAATTGCATGACAATGTCAATTTGAAAGAGATTCCGGCAAAAAAAAATCCTATATTTTATAAAAAGAACGTGTTTTTCATGAATTTAAGCTGTCTATGCTCTAACCTGTGTGTGACGTCATAGCGGGTTACGCCCATGCATTGAAAACCATGGATCTATGCCACAGGACTGGCTTTTCTCTCTTCTCTCCACTGATGCCCAACACAATACTGCCCTCTACAGGTGACAATTGCTCACTACACATAAATTGCCGTTTTGAGTGTGAAAAAGTGTCCGGGGCAGGATTTGAACCCAAGTATCTGGATTGGCAGTCCATCGACACAAACACTGGACTATCTCAGTGACAAAGAAGTGTTACATTCTAGTAGTTATCTCATACTCGCTGTACACGGTCTTGTCATCTTGAATATCCGCGAAAAAAGAACGAATACCAAATTGTAAACAACTTACAGCGTTGAAACGTACCCGTTCTGACGTCACCAAGGGCTGTGAAGTTTTTTCGTTTCTAAGGGCGTTGCTATGGGGTTATTTCGATTTGGGGGGATCAGACAAAAAAAACAACAACTGATTTTGAAACCTTTAGTAGTTCTCTTCTAATATAAAATGGTATTAAAACTGTATTTCTAAATAAATCAAACCCGTCATAAGGTCTTTAAGTTTTAATCAGCTTATACAACGTGGCTGTATCATGGAACTACTTGGCAAGAGTGAACAAGTATATATCTGAGCATGTGCACTGATAACAAGTACGGCATAAGACAAGGCACATTTATCAGAATGATCTACATCGTCTCCTTTTAGTCATTGCCTTCTGTAACAAAATAAATGTAGCAATTTGAATAAAACAATAATAACACTCAACACAATACTCAATACAACTATTGAATGAAAGTACATTTCTGCAATAAACTATATAACCTTATATCAAATAAAGTGTATCATGTATCTCTGGATTCCAAACATGACCAATACAGAATAGGATCTGTGTAAAACTCACACAAGTCAACAAAATATGCATAAGATACTGTAATCACAATCATAACAATCTTTCTTTTATTTATTTTTTTGAAACATCTTACACGGGTTAATCACAGTATTTAGGATTCGGTTTGCAAATCCGACCCG